ATGCTGAATACCTTCCATATTGTCCTGTCCTTGGTGCTGAATACCTTCCATATTGTCCTGTCCTTTGTGCTGAATACCTTCCATATTGTCCTGTCCTTGGTGCCGAATACCTTCCATATTGCCCTGTCCTTAGTCACGGCGGTCGGTTGCTAGGCTAAAAGTCGCATTACTAGGGAGGTATCGGGTTACAGAACGCGTTTGAACGTGGCCGCGCGGGAGTCCCGGGCCGGCCCGGGGGTAACGGGTAAAATTTGAAAATAAACAAAAGTAATTGGAGAGTAAACACTCGTCAAAATAAAATGTAACAAGTGATTTTGTTAACCTCAAATGTTATTCTTCCACTGTCTTTGCTCAACTTTGTGTACATTTGCTTCCAAATGAGATAAATTTCGGATTTCAAAAACGGTTCACGAGAACCAAACAACTGATTTTAAGGGGCCCCGAATATCAAAAACAAGGTTTCATTTTTTGATTTTTAGAAAAATTACAGTAAAGGTAAACTTTCTGTCTTAGGATTTTTTAAATCTTTAACTAAAACTCAAATTACAGCCAAAAAAGAGCTAAAAACGCAGTTTTTCAACTTTAAATACCGATAATTCATAATCGCGGCCATATTTTAAAAAACCCTAAGACAGAAACCTGTGGAAATCGTTGCTCTTCCAAACAAGACCTCAATGAGGTAATTTGAACGATTTTTGGGAGTAGTTAAAATACCATGTTTGCACGCGTGCTATGACACTTGGATATGGGGACCTGGATTTTATAACAACAAGAATTCTGACCTTCAAGGTCACCCACGATGACGGCAGTAGCTTCGTTACATGTTACATATCCACAATAAAATCACGGCATAGATGTAATGTTTTGAAAACGGTTCATATTTGTGGAAAGGTGGATTTTTTCTGTTCCTTGGTTCCCAAGTAAAAAAAAGGCTTGAAGTAGCCGGTTGTAGCGACTTTACTGTAAATGACCGCGGGTAACCCCGGATCGAACGCCTGTTCTATTCGAATGACGTCATATCGAACAAGATTTGCGGGTTCGGGGGATTCGATCTCCATAGTAGCAGAGTGGGACTTTTGGGTCCAAATCTGACCATCGTGAGTGCTGATCTTGCTCTTGAGGCAGCGTTCCATTTACACTGACCTGCCTTTGTGCCTCCCTACATTTGGTTAACTTGAATGCTGATATTATGATCACATTCCTAGCACCCCTTTAGCCCTGTCCTTGGTGCTGAATGCTTTCACACTTTCTATCTCATACATCCAAAGAGCCTTACCTTACTGCACATTTGTAAACAATTATATGCATTTCAATTAGTCCTTGTATTGTTCAATATTATATAGAAGGATTCTTATGGTTAAGTTGCTAACTTTTGTATTTTCAGTGATCCCACCACCATCAGGTTTGCAGGCACCACAACTGTCACCATCCAGCATAAAACTGAGCTGGGACAGCCCAGCTGTGCAACCAGACTCCTACCAGATCTCCTATAGGTTAGACATTAGGTTTATGTGAGAGAGGATGACCGACATTCAATATAAGCAAGCAAGACATTATCTAACATCATCCAATCGCTTTCATATGTGTATGAAATCAATTTATCAGTCACTTTTCCAGATGATTTTCACAAAGTAGTCTAGCTATCATATCTAGTTCATATCTTGTCACTAGAAAGCTTTAAACAACTCCTACAATCAAATGTGCAAAGATTGAGTGTAACAAGTCGCTCGGTGTGATATAGCTAGCTGCTGCGAAGCTGGTGTGTTACGCCGAAGGGCGGTTATACCGGCTATACCGATACAGATACAGATATCTTAATTTTTTTACACCTGTACATAGCAAGCCAAAATTCGTGTAAGAAAGTAAACTGATTGAAAATGTAATTTTTCCTGCAGGCAAATCTATAGAGGGGTAGCTAAAGTGGAGACTATCGGTGCTAGTGAAACGCAATATGAGCTGAACGGATTCACCAACAAAAATCAACGCTACAAATTTGAATTGACTCCCGTTATCCATGGAAGAGAGGGGGACGTCCTCACACTTACAGTGTGCTTGGGTATGTAAAGTTTGCTGACTTGTTTTTTCAGATCAGATTTATGTTGTTCATTATATGGAAGATAGAAGGAAATTGTTAAAAGTTTTCGTAGTAACCAAACAAATTATGGAATAGTGTATCTTGCTCTTTTGAATGACAGCTGACACTGCAAGGCTGAAGGACTTCCAAGTTGAGCACACCACTTCAACAACGATTTCTGTCAAATGGACATCCCCCTCCTGTATTGACGTCCGCAGCTATGACCTTTGTGCCATCCCCGTGGATGAAACAGATGAGGGCCCAGTTTGCCTACAGGTCTGTTCTTTCTTTTTGGGTCTTGACCTACGTTCGTGGCAAATGTTGCTAGAGAAGTCTTCTGATATGACCAGGCTTGTATCCACAGATTGTACTGTAACAATACTTGATACTTCTCTTTTGCCCTGTCCTTGGTGCTGAACCACGCCTCTGATACAGCATTTTATATACACTAACCTTCCTTTGGTGCCTTCCTTGAATTGTGTATATGCACCCTGAGATGGTATTATGTATTATATACACTGCAATTTACCAGACATTGCCTAATGTATAACTTATAGGGCAGCCTCCACTGCATGAAAAATCTAATTACAGAACTAATTTGACTTACAAGGTAATGCATTGTCAAACTTTAAAGTTAGATGTTGTTATATCAAAAAGTTGATCCCCTTAACAGTAGTGATTGACAATGGAATCATCTAGGCAGGCTAATGGTTTTTAAATTAATGTCTTTGAGTTTGCAGTTCTACATATCTGTGCATGTGTATGTGTTGGCCTGATGAATGAATGTAGTGGTTGTATTGTGTCCTGTGTTGGCAGGTTGATCCAAAGAGTTCTTCTGCAGTCATAGAAGACCTGATACCAGGCACACTGTACTATGTCAACCTGACAGCCCAGATTGCCTTTGTGATTGGTGGAACTCCAACTGATATCATCAGTGATGCTGTTTCACAGGCTACAGGTGGGGTTTACATGTAGTTGTATCTGAAAGTGATAATGATGATAAAGTTTGTCCACATTTTCTGGTAGTGATGCTATTTGCTTCCATGTGGCCCTGTCCTTGGTACTGAATGCTGTCTGCTGTTAGTAGTGCTGTATCTTGTACTTAACACAGAATTTCATTTATCCCAACATCTTCTGTGGTGCACAGTCAGTCCTGTCCTTGGTGCTGAATGCCATCTGAGTCTTGTACCTCACACAAAAATCCACTCATTCATTCTAGCCTGCCTCTAGTACCTCCTATCCTGCTTGTAGTACTTAATACCTTCCATATTGTCCTGTCCTTGGTGCTGAATACCTTCCATATGGTACCTACCATGTAGTTGTATCTGAAAGGTAGAGTTTTCAGTATCAATGGCACAATTCCTGTCAATGCCCTTTTATATGTGATTGATCAGCCTGATAGCAACTGATGAGGACCAGTCCTGTTTATTGTTATAGATGTCTTGTCATTCTCCTTCTCAACTGAAAAAGTGACAAATTTAACTTTCAACTTGTAAGTTTTAGATATTTTTGTTTTCTACAATAGCTCTTGATGTTTGTATTTTGGACCATTTATGTCTCACAACCATTTCAAATTCTCCAGTTCCAGAACCGCCATCAGAACTCCGAGTCACCAACTTCACCAGCAGGACTGTCTCCTTGTCCTGGAGTTACCATGGAAACAAGACAAACAGCTTGGGCCGCCATGGCAACGTGATAAACAGCTCTTCAGTTGTGTTCACTGTCAGGTACCACAGGTTTGTTGGACTGAACAGGACTGAGTCAGGCAGGTTGTTAGAAGGATGGCTCAACACAGTGAACACAACAGCAGTGGTGGAAGGTCTTACTGATGATACGGAATACCTCATGACAGTGATGGCATCAGTCAGCGGGATGCATAGTGGAGAGATATCTCTGCTGACTCATACAGGTATAGTGAGTACAGTCAAACAAATCGTGATAGAAGCTCCTTGAACAAATGTTTGCAATGAAATTGCTTATCCCTTTGTTTGCAATGAAATTGAATATCTCTTAAATTTGTACAATATTTGAATTATGAAGTGTAAAAGCCCTGAACCCCACCTAACAGCACATTGCCAGAATGTAGTGCACCTGTGTGAAACCCAGATTTTTCCCATTTTCGCTGGTTGTTTGGTCAACATTGCATAGAATTTTGCCCGCCGCAGATGATATCTTTCACTATATGGATGGGATTCGATATTAGATATACAACCTTAAATGAGATGTTCTGCCAAAGGGCTATGCACCAATAAGTTCTGGGTTTTGCCCAGACAAAGTACGTTCAGCCAATGTCGAATGTGCTCCCCTTTTCTGTGTGAATGTCCATGAAAGGACCTACCCTGTGGCCTTGCCAAAACAAAAACAAACTCCCAACTGTTTCTGTAGCTGCTGAGGCAGAGTGGAGTGAGTGGCAGTCTATTGGCAGCTGTTCTGTGACGTGTGGTGGTGGGAAACAGGTGAGGAGGATACGCATTGTAGATACATTTCCCTGTAATCACACATATGTGTAGATATGTAAATATTGTACGTTTGGGAATTCATCTATACATGTACTAGTGACACCTGTGCTGTAGTGCAATGTGAACCAGTCAGAATTGCTCTGATGATGAGGAAGGTGACAGATGGTCACCAAAACGTCCGCTGAATAAAAGACTTGGTTGTGTAAAAAGAGTCTCTTTACTCAGTTGAGGAGGAGGCTGTGTCTGCTGCAGGATGGGCAGCATGTACAGAAGTGTGAGGGGAAGAACAACACTCTGGCAGATGTAGAAGAGGAACTACTGTCCTGCAATAATATATCCTGTCCAGGTTTGTATACTAATGTCATTCTCTGACTATGGTCATGTTAGACCAGTCTTAACTGAACAAAATTTGTCTTACGGTTCATCACTTTTACAAATTAAATACAATATAATATATACCTGTGCCAAACATGTTCTCCAAGGCCCCAATGACAGCTATTCTGAAGAAAGAGATGTCTAATGATTGTATGTCTGAAAACTGCTTTTCTGTAAAGGAAAATTTTCACACAATCATACAGTAACTGTACTTTATACAATTATAGTTTTACTCAGGGCTACTCTGTTTGCAAGATCTAGTGGTCTGTCAGGAAGAGTTGTTTTGCCATTATCATCTTCCAATGGGCTACTATATAATGAATTGATCACAACTCTTCAATCTTCGAATAGTTAACCTACTCAACTTTTATGTCCACAGTGCATGGAGGCTGGTCATCCTGGTCAAACTTCACAAGTTGCTCAGCATCATGTGACGGAGGGACCCAGACTCGGAGCCGTAACTGTACCAACCCCACCCCTCAACATGGTGGTCGAATGTGTGCAGGACAACCGTTACAGGCTTCTCAGTGTAACCCACAGAGTTGTCCAGGTTAATGAAAAAATCATCTTATTAGAAATTTTACACATTGTACAATCATGTAACTTCCTTCAGAGATCTGCATTGACTAAGATTATGATTTAAAATTTCAAGGCCAGAATAATGTTTAAAAACTGTTACACAATAGTGCCTGATTGATTGATTCATATTCAGTCACATGTAACTGTAATATCACTTTTATTTGACAATTTGCTAACAAAGTACAGAAAGTAACTCGTAACTGGATTCATTTTCAGCACGGTCAATGTGTTGCTGTTTCAAATTGGTAATAGTTAAAATTGTCAGTGTTGCAGAAGTTGACATCCTTATTTGCTGTCCCTATAGTGCCAGTGATATCAGCATGGATGACCTGGTCTATGTTTGATGACTGCTCTGAGACCTGTGGTGGTGGACTTCAGATCAGGAGAAGACAGTGTAACGGTTCATCATGCATCGGAGAGGCTGAAGAAATACGAGTGTGCCGTGAGGACCCCTGTCCAGGTCAGATGCGAAGCAGTGAGAAATATGCTTATATACAAATGTAGGGTTGTGTGACAAGTGAATGATGAGAAACAGTTGACTTAAGGAAAAAGTCAATTTTCCATGATTGCATTGCAATTGGTATATTTGACAAAAAGTTGCACAATATAACAAATGGCCTCTATTATCTGTATCTGTATCTGTATAGCCGGTATAACCGCCTTTCGGCGTAACACACCAGCATTATAATGTGACAACATGTAGATGACAATGAGAACGGTTGCTTTCACATCACCAATGACATATTTGTACTACTCTTCAAAGTTGTGTTATTTTCTTGTTTCAACTCTGCTCAGAAGCTTCTTCACATCACATAAAACCATACAGAGCAGAAATTGTTAATGACCTTTCTTCAGCTGATAATATTATTAAAACCAACATTTAGAGCAAACATTTGTTTTCTCCAAAGTCCATGGAGGTTGGTCCAGCTGGAGTGCGTTCTCTCCCTGTACGGCAGCCTGTGGCCACGGGAACCAGACACGAGCGCGTAACTGTACCAGCCCGGAGCCCGCACGTGGGGGCAACAGCTGTCCTGGGGATGACGGCGGCAGTGGACAGGAAACACAGACCAGGGGGTGCTTTCTGAAAGAATGTCCACGTAGGTTCTTAAAAACCTTCCTTCGTATAAGAGGGTTGTGCATTACCATACAATAGTCTGAGTGTCTGGAACAGTTCAAGATTAAGATCTCACTAATAAAATCAGAAGAGTACTGGCTTTAAAATGGTGATGAATTGAGTAAACATGGATGCTTAATTGACAAGGATATTGTCAAAGAATATATTTCACTAAAAGACTGGTACATTGATATCATTCACTGAAAAAAAACATTTTCTTTGACCTTAAATGACATCTAATAAATCTAGATATCTTGTTCTACAGCCCCACCTGCACCGCCTACCTGGTCAGAATGGTCTCCATTCGGCCCCTGTTCTGTGAGTTGTGATAACGGTACTCGGCAGAGGCATCGCACTTGTTCATCAGAAAACTGTGAGGGACCTGACATAGAAGTGCAACAGTGTTTCCCATATCCCTGCTATGCAAGTAAGTTTCACCATTCTCTTACTGATTAAAATAAAAACATAAGATCTGGACAAAAACATTTTTACATACTAGGTATTAGATGCAGGGCATCTTAAAATTCAGTTTACACAAGTCATGTTTATTATATCTGCTAGAAAATCACACAAAATAGAATATTAAGTAGACTAGTTTTTAGTTTTTACATGTAAGTTGTTACAACAATAAACTGTAAAATTCGCTGCCTACACACGCAATAGTGTACTGTGACAGAATTTGATTACTTTACACAAATTCCTCATCACGAATATGGTCCTGTGTACACTGTTTTGTATTTTCTGACATTTTGTGATGTATACACAATGTATGATCCCCACAGCCCCTCCTGTGGATGGCATGTGGTCAGCGTGGTCAGAGTACAGTCCATGTACAGTAACATGTGGAGGAGGGGCGATGCAGCGTATGAGGGAATGTGCAGACCCTGCGCCGATACACGGAGGCAGGCCATGTGAGGGGGATCGGGAGGGACTGGGGATGGAGGTCCAGTATCTCGCCTGCAACTTGGCAGCCTGCAACTCCTCAAGTCAGCCTCCTGACAATGTTGGAAGTTGGTGTCCTTTTATCTTAAAGTTTTCATTACATTTACCACCACTTTATAGTTGAGAGACAGTTGAGACTTTTTTTAGATAGAACATGCAATAAAAAGCATAGAAAAGCTACTTTTGGTACATGTACCTGTATGTGTTGTCTTGTCTTAAGACAAACTGAATTTTGGGGTTTTCTGGGCAGGCAACTCTGGATTGGATTGGATTAGGTCCTACAGTTTTATAGGTAATGTAACTAATATTCAGTTTTGATCTTTACAGTGTGTCCAACAGTCATTGGAACAAACAATCATGCCTGGCCTGAAGCTGCAGCAGGGACCACACAGACAGTCTCCTGCTTTAGAGGTGGGGCTTCAATTGTATGAATGATGAATATCAGCATTTCTTTTATTATATAAATCTAATCAGCTGGTGTGCTACGCCAAAAGGCGGTTATACCGGCTATATAGATACAGATACTCAATAACTCCTTTTCAGTCTTTTCCCAACCCTCACTCATGGTGTCAAGTACTGATCACTCACACACTCATCTTAACACCCGCAGTACTGCATGTTAGTTCTAGCACTGAAAAAAACCTCTCAGATATCAAGTTACACTTGATAAATCTAATATACATGTATAATAATATGTAGATAATATTATGTATGTTTATCATTCATATTTGATAGAATTGTCACACAAATTAATAGAATTCTACATGAGGTTACAAATGTATAAATGTCATGGTTTGTAATGGGTATTGTGATCATGTAATGTATGCTAGAGGGGGAAACTTGATACACTGTATGACTAATTGCACACTTTCCAGGTGTGGCCAGACGCAGGTGCAGTGAACACTCCCAGTGGGAGGCAGAGGACTTCAAAGACTGTGTGTCTGTGATCATGGCAGGGTTTGTGGATAAGGTACAATGTAATACATTGTGTACATGTAACATTAACTGGTCAAATATTCAGAAAATATCAGAAAGATACATAATACAATTGTGTGTCTAATGCTACAATCATAGGCCTTATCCTAGTGTCCAGTACTATAAAAAGCAACAAGGTACTGTACAGGGTACTAGTATCCATTTATTTTCTTGTTTTCACAATGTTTTTCTATTTTTAGACATTGACTTTTGGCACAAAAAACGAAACAATCTGTTGAGTAATTTACTGTATATACAATCATGTATGTCACAACTGATACGAGTGTTGTCATTTCATTTCATTTCATTTTTATTTATTTACCCAGGGTAAACATGTCGCCGCAAGGGCGTTTTTCAATGTTCCCTGCGGACATATACATTTACAAAATATACTTATTAACTTAAAATAACAAACAGGAAAACTACAGGGGCTCTACATATACACAGCATACATTGTCATGATTGTATTTCTTCCTGCTTGCTTCAGCTGAATGGAACTCTTGAAGATAATTTAATCCCAGTACACACAGTGCAAGAGATGGAGGAGAGCCTGTCAGCTGGGGAGGTTACAGGGTTCGGGGACATCAGTGCTGCTGCAGAGGTCATCAAGACACTTTCACAGGGAGACCTGCTGAATGCTGCAGATGGGACACTTGCAAATAAGGACAGGTTCATAAGGGTAGGTACAACACTGAATATAGTTAGGCATGATTTTAGAAAAATGTAGAACATATGACATTGAATTGAAGATAATAAAAAAATACAATGATTCTCTAGCTAAAGTTATGGATGAAACACTTAGGAGCAAAGAGTTGGAAAATTTTAGATAAAGGATTATCCTTTTGCAACACTTTTTATGCTTCTTATTTTCCACTTAGTTTGTCATTAATATTCTTTCATAGGGGCTCGTTGGGAGTGTTGATTCCCTGCTACCAGATCAAAATGGAGACTTTTGGCCCACCAGCAAGCAGGTACGACTGATGACTTTTCACCCGACACCAGCAAAGACTAATAATTATTCAATGCAGAAGCCATAATTTGTCAGCAAAGAAAGCATCTTAAGATATATACATGGTTACTGCAGGAATCTGCAATGCAAATACAAACATGCAATGCAAACAACTCAGGCACAGGTTGTTAGCACTGACCATGGTACTGAACATCTGGATATCAACATATGATGCTGTTTAGCTGTATAATATATAATGTTCAATTTGGTATTTCCACTACAGAATAACAGTGAAGTTACTAGTTTCTGATTCTTAATATGTTTTTGAGACCAATGATATTTTAGGGGAATATTCTCACAAAAAAGCAAGATACATGTAGTAGCATTCACTCAGAGGGTCATTGGACAATGCTCAGCTACCAGTCTGTTTCACTATCATTTCTAATGATACATGTAGATGTACTGTACATGTCAGGAACCAATGGCAGTAGAAAAAATATTTTGTGAATTAATCATGTCATTCACAACATTGATTTTATTCAACAGAAAGATGCACAGAATCATGTGACATCACTCATCAACTCAATGGATGATTTTGGTTCCTCGATTGTCAATTATTTGTCTAATGTTGGAGAGGACTATGTCACAGTGCATAAGAAAAGCATAGGTAAGAGCACACGTATCAGTCAATACACTTCATATGGTCCATTTTGAGATTTGTGTATTTTATGTATTTGGTTCATCAGCCAGCATAGGTTGAAATAATAACGCCATACAACTGAGTGCAAGAGCTTTTGCCTAATTTTTGTGTATTAATTTTTTTGGTTGATTTAATTATATTTTTCATTTAAATCTTGTTATAGGATGCAAACTTTCTTAAGTGATCAAAATTAGACATGAACTTGTGAACATAAAGATGTGAATTGTCCCTAAAGCAATGTTGAACAAGAACTACTAACAGTAACCATTAAATTTTGTTAACTTGTTTTGATTTGTTGTTGTTAGAACTGGATGCTGCTGTCATCCCAGCAGGACAGCTTCTTGAGTCTGTAACACAGCCGAGACCCCCGACCTGGGGACCAGCCTCTCCAGACAGGAGCAGGATCACAGTACCAGCTGAGGCATTTGCTGAAATCTTGACCAGCTATCCAGGTAAGAAAGGACAACAGTAAGACAAAAATATGGTACTATCCTTCGATGTGGTATACTTAAAGACTAGTACACAGTGGAAAGGGTTTGTATTCTTGTGAAAAGGAAAATCTGATAGTTCAATGATATCCTCAATTACTTAAAGATGTTTCAATCATTTTCAGTATAAACAGCAGAATACAAATTAAAGTCTAAATGGAGTAGACATTTAATGCATGTGTTGTGTTTAAGTGACTAATTCATATGTTTGTTTATTGCACTTAACTCTAGATAAAGATGTGAGGAGCATTGGAGTCGTTACTTACAAGATGATGCACTTTGACAAGATTTTGGAGAGTAACAATGTACAAAGGTGAATAGGCTAAAGAAATAAATAGGAAATGAGTTAGAGTAACCCTAATTTAGGTCTAGCGTAACCCTAAATTAGGGTTAGCGTAATCCCAAATTAGGATACTACATGTAGTAATCAAAATGACATGGTTTTAGCAATGTAGAAGGTTGAATTACTGTTATGATGCCATATTCCTCAAGTAGATTGGGTGTTTTTATGTTTGTGCACTTTTCCTGTAAATTGAAGAATTACACATCAACAATGTAGCTGAGTGAAGTACTGTCAATTAGCCAAAGCTAGTATTAAATTGGACTGTGACTTTCTCCAGGCATATCTATGGGAATCGGACACTGAACGGCCCTGTCTTGAGTACTGTCATCCACCCTCCACCAAAAGAAGCTCTGCTAAATCCTGTCATCATCAAGATACATCATACAAAAGTGGGGCCTGACAATGTTGTTAATTCTTAAAGGAAGCATTTATTAATTTGATGTTACTACATGTACTTTCTTTTGATACTTGTATTCCATTTCTGCATAAACCATAGAGACATTTCAAGTAAGAAGCTCTCAATGAAGACAGGTTCTTTTGTCCTCTTTGTCACTGACATTTGTTGATTAGGTTGATTAAACCTGGTGTTTTTATGTTTGTGTACTTTTCCTGTAAATTGAAGAATCATGCTTAATAATTAAGTATCAAATTTCTCCACTTGTAGATGGCCAAGAATCCACTTTGTGTCTACTTGGACTATGACGACCCAAATCGGTAAGTACTGTATTATTATTATTATCGGAGTACTGAGTACCACGTGTGCTGCATCATCAGATTTTACTGTTGCACATCATTAAATTAAAAGTTATTGATGTTGTTCTTGCAACATTTAGACTGATCCCTTCAAGATTACTGAAGCTGCTTATGATGTTCTTTCTCTGTCACAGTGGTTATTAACAAATTATACGTCATGTACAAGACATGTACATGTATTTGAGAAAGACCCTGCCTTCAGTGGGGCAAATTATGATATACGTCAACTAGTTTTCATCCATTTAAGTCACTAACTTAATGGAAGTTTCATTTTTACATCCTAGTTTATTCAACCCATCTGGGTGTGAAGTGAAGGAGAGGAGGAGGACCTACACCATCTGCCAGTGTTTTCACCTCACAGCTTTTGCTGTCTTAACAGAACTGGAGACACCAGTAAGGGCTGTCCTAACTTCTCATTTACAACACTGAAGCATCCTGAGATATTCTTTTACTTGCACATTTCAAATCTTGTAAGTTTTATATTACAGTGTTTGTTTTGTAAGATTCATACAATTAATGATGTACGTTTCTTTCTTACAGGAGCCAAAAGTCACATTACCAACTACTAACCTTCCATGGATGGGACAGGTTGTTGCTATGGCAACACTGAGCATTACACTGCTGATCTTGCTGTGGCTCAGGTACATTCCCTGTTCTGTCACACAGAGTTGCTGACAGATTGACAGTAGTCTTCAACTAAGCGCAGGCCCAACAGTGCAAGTCAACATTAATTTAGTTAAGATGGTTGGGGTTTAGTATTTCTGGAAAAGGCTAATCTCTTCTCACTTTAGTGTTGAAAGCAAGGATATGCTTTACTTTTCTGCTAATTTTCTACCTTGTAGAAAGCTCTCAATGTTGTGAACTACATTGTAAGTGTTAGAACTGTGTTATGGTACAAAATACGATGTTCAGTAGGAAAACTACATTCTTCTGTTAATGAACAGTCTTCGATTTTTTTTTCAGAACCCACCTGGACACGTCTGGTTACCTCTTTCTAATCCTCACAGCCTTTCTGTTGGCCATTGAGGTCACCATCTTTGTAGGGATGGAAAAATCAGACAAATGGGTATGTTACACTTCTACTGCATCATTGGTATGTCACTCCACCACGTGTTGTGTATGTAACATTAATCTGACACTTATTAGCTCAGTAAAATAATGGATGAAATACAGAATGAGTAAGGATAGGTTTATCTACAATGTGTAAGGTATCAAATGACTTTAGACAATGAGGGAGAAGCAATGCCTTATCAAGCCATACTTACTTAAACATTAACAAAGGCAAAAAAAGGAAGGTTTGTCAGGAGAGTAGTCTGAATTGAGTTACAGCACAGTATGCTGCCTCGCGAATTGCACTCAAAGTTGCTGACTATGGGTCTTTTCCAACTATGACACGAGTGCAGGCATCAGCCCTCCCCAAATGGTCGAGGGCCTCTTGTGCCATCTCTGCACACTGCCAAGCCTTTCTCTGGTGTCCCACCTGCACACATTAGACCAGGGCCCTGCTAGAGCCTTCAGTAGCCTTGTCTCAGACCTTCCCAGGGGCAAGGAGGTAATCAAGTACCTGTAGGTAACCCCTAAAGCGAGCATTCCTGGCAAACCATGTCTGTGGGGTGATAACCATTCTTACATATATGGCGCACAATCTGAGTCAGTTTTGTTTGTGGTTTCTTTTAAATATTAGCCCAGTATGTAGTTTAAGATGCACTGAGGCTCATAAACTGATGACTCTTCCTTTTTGTTGATCTTTTCTTTCTTAATGTTTTATCTGCAGTCAAAACAATTTGACCTGTTCCTTATGTAATTGGAAATATTGGTATAGTTACCTCTGCATAGCTAATGAGGGAGCAAAGCATGATGGGAAGGGTGTCAGGTTACAGCTTGAATTAAAAGTGGCACCCATCAATAACTCTATTTTGGTATGACTTCTACCATATTTGTGCATTGATGTGGGCCTTGGGAGGGAGAAGGCTAAGCAAATTCACATACTTTAAGTTGTAAAGTGACACAGTATTTCTGCACAGTACGGTCGGTATCTCTGCCTGGGTGTGTCTGGCCTCCTACACTTCCTCCTCCTGGCCGTGTTCATGTGGATGTTAGCCAGGGTGCTGCAGCTCTACCGCGATGCCAGCCTGGCGGAGGGCAATGCACCATGGGAGAAGTACTGCATTCTGGGTATCCTCCTGCCACTTGCTGCAGCCGCCGCACCTCTGATCTTGAACTATGATGATTACAGGGACATGTCCATGTGAGTTCCAAACTGTGAGCAGATGCATGGATGGATTTTGGAATGAGTGAAAGAGCAACGGCCAAACGTTAACATGCTGCTATTAGTTTTTACACTGAATTTGATTCAATAAGCTTTCAGATGTACAACCTGTCATTCCACATTTCATGATTATCATAAGAATTTGGGAGACAGTGGCTACCTTTCTTGCTTACCAAATGGCACGTTATATCACATACAGGAAAAGTTCATGGTTAACTGTTGGACTTTGCTTTCCACATAGCTGCTGGCTGCCACAGTCTCACTACATGGAGTATGCCTTCATCGCACCTGCTGGATTTATTCTGATGGTGAGATTGAAACTTACATAATTCTATGCATTGTACTATTTGTAGGCTTGAATGAAAAGTTTGTTATATGTAAGCAAGAAGTCAGTTTATCTTGTGGATTTTTTTTTCACTTTTATGCTAAGATGCCTAAAGTTTTTATCACACTTGTGATGTAGGTTTGAATCTTGACAAATTAATAGTGTTATTGTATTGACTGAATTGTATTCACACAGGTGTCTACTATCATCCTGGTTGTGACCATCCGACAGTGTAACTTGACAGTCTCCAAGGCCAAAACCCCAATACCTGGCTTTGACATCACTGAGTATGTAACACAATGTGTTAATAGATCCGAAGTAGCCTGATTAAATCGCTTTTGCCGGCCGCCCAACATCCAGCCGGCCTATGCCGGGTGGCGGACTATGTAGGGAGGCCCCCCGGAGCTTGGGTTACGTATACATAGGCTAGATCCGAAGCAGTTGGAGAATTATAAAGTAGACTTTGTACAGGTGCATTTCATCTCTAAGTAATCGGGTAACATAGACAGTGGTAGCTACAAAACATGTGGAAGCTAGTTCTACCTTTTTCTTCTTGACGGTTGCAATGTTGATATGGTAGTGTTGTTCTGAAGGCATTCATTTCATATCAAAGTCATATCAAAACAAGTTAAACCCAAGCATTAATGTTATTACATAGTATTTTTATGTGTTCAACTCTCTTGCAGGGATGACACAGAGAAGACTGTGTTGTTGCTTCCCCTGGTAGCAGGAACTTGGCTTGTGTGGAGTTTTGGTTTCCACATGAACTCCCTACAGATGGACATTGGCTATGGTGTTCTCAACATACTCCAGGTACTAATGTTACTGATCTTTTGGTTGTTTTTGTAATGCTTGAAGGAATGAGTCTTTTCATATCTATGTTGTATTGACTACCTTTGATTTTATTTACCCTTCTTTTGTTTGTATCTTTTTGTGTTACAGGGATGCTACATTTTCATCTTTTGCTGTTTGAGGAGTAGGGAGGTTAGATGTACAAGTTATTTCAGGGTTACTGGATCTGATTTCTGCTTTGTCATATAGAAAAACCTACATTGAATGAAGAATTTCACATTAAGTTTTTTTGTCCATTTTGAATGACATTGAGTTCTTGTAACTGTACCTTGCAGGTGAGGGTCTCCTACTACAGAAAACTGGGAATACCAGTGGAGAAATCCACCTGGGCCTCACTGCAAGCCAGCAAGCAGCAGCAGGCTAAGAAACCAGTCTACATCCCATGATAATTGTGTCACAATTCAGCCTATACATTTGTGGATGTATGTATGTATGCATGCTTGTGTTAGAGTGTTATGTTACATAAAAATGCTGTTCATGTTTCACTTCAGAAATAATGTATTCATCTTGCATGTTACAAGTTATGATCATGTTAAATTTTAGAAATTCATGTTAGCTCAGATAAATTGATAATACATGAATCTAGAAGACTTTTACTAAAGGATTAGGCAAAATGCTGCATTGTGTTTAAAGAAAGTAATAAGTCTCATAGCACCAATAGTTGTTCACACATCTTTAATTTGTATCATACACAATAAAGCCAATTGTCTTGAACTGCAGTATCCATTGTGTGGTGTGTTTTTCTTCAAAATTTGTCTTCAACAGTTAAACTTGATGTGTGAAATCTAGTACGAAACACAAGACTAGCAAAGCAAATCATTTTACATCAGAGAGAAGATAACAGAGGACTTCTATCATGTACAGAAGCAAGCTGCTGCTTAGCGATGTAAGGGGACATTTTATTGGTCAGGGTCGGTCTTGGGAGAGTAGTCAATGACCTCTGTAGAGGTCATGGGGACGAAGTAGTGCAAGCCGTCACCTCGCTCCTGCATCAGGTAGTTCGCCATCTTCTGTTTTTGCCTACAGTGGAAGAAATCGGGCTTGCTTGCATTGAACAGTTTTTTTTTTCAATGACATTTTTTGTCATGGTATGCTGTTATATTGGGATGAGTAAAAAGGTTGTCATTATGATAAACTGATTAGAAAAAAAGCAATGTGCAAAAACTTACCCTCAAGTTTAGCAGTACCTAAATACTTTGTACTATAATTGATCACTTCTAATACATTATACATGCAGGCCATTGCCAGTATCTGTTACTATGTTACTGTTAGCAGATGTTCCATTGCTACTGAATGATACAATTTACGTTTTACAGTTTTTCATGGGTCACGTAAAGCATCACAAGAAACAAAAAGAGGTTACAAACCTCCACTCCTTCTTCTCATTCTCATAGGAAACCTTTGCCAACATCTTCTCATAGTTTTCTTGGTAGGTTGGCATCAAGTTACGCACTATGAACCGTGTGATGGGGTGCTGAGGGGCAGAAATGTAGGCAGTCAAGCCACACACAGAGAACAATAGGGAAAGCAGAAAGGGACAACAGTGTTGTGTGTTTATACATGTAAGGCCACACCGAGTTAATTTTATAGATGACATCCGCGCACGCATTGACATCTGTTCTCAAAAAAAAAAAAAAAATTAAAAATCACGTCCTCCGAGGCTCTGGCCTTGCTCTAGGCCTGGGTACTCCACGGTAGTTAGTGACAATAGGGACCCGGTGGTAACTCTGGAGGATGACACCCAGGCTGCCAAAGCTCCACGATGGCAAGAACTCAGTACATATGCACAGTGCCAATTCATAAATTCCGCAAAAAGCCAGCATGTGCAGGCTTGTCGTATACGTCACTTTGTATTCCTGTGGTTTAGTAGCATTTTTATTTTTGGCCTGATTTTTTTTTATTCGCCCGCGCACACTAGTTTGGGGGTCTTCAGAGGATGTCATCCATAAAATTAAGTCGGTGTGGCCTAACGTTATAGTACAGCTAACAATATATATCTGTGGATTGATAACATGACACACATCTTGAAAACAAAGCAATGGAACCAAAAATGATCTTTTGAAAACACGTGGACTGGACATTGGAACAAAAGAGTACTGTGCAGTGTGTTACCAGAGTACTAGTACACACTGCAACTTTGAGGGAAAAGTCTGTCCAACATTAGTACTTACATCATGGTACTCATACTCTTCTGGTTCATAATCTTCTGGTATCTCTGTGAGCTCTGCTGGTCCTGATGGAGAAATAAAATTACTAATAAAATAAAATGTATAGTATATAATGAGAGTCATATAAACTTTATTAAAAGCAGAAAACTTTAGCCTCTACTCTAACCTAAGTCTTAAGATATCATTTAATATATACTAGACTTCAACAGATGTACTTACCAATGAAGGTATTGATGAACATGATGATGAGGAAAGCTGGGATGCCAGTCAGAGCATAGTATTTAGCCTGCATTTTACATAACAACAAGAACATTCAGTTTATGTAACATAATAGAGCCCTATGTTCATGAGGGTCCAAATACAACTATTGTACAAGTAGGCACCATATTACTAAAACTTGTCTGAAATATTTTGCTTCCTCAAGCACCATATTCTAACAATTAGCTACTAGTAACTGAAATTCCATATAGTTTATAAAAAATAGGTTTGAAAGCAGATTACTTTTGTCTTTTACCTTCATAACACATACATTGCCATATCTTTAACTTACTACGTAATATTTAGCCAGTTTAAAGTTATGTTTGACTTACCACATCTCTTAGGAAGAGTTTCTCGTGGTACTTAGGTGGTGTGGCCCAGAAAAATTTCTTTGTTTTAGGGTAGTTGAAGTCTGCGCCTGGATACCGCTCTGGGTCACTTGTAATGTTACGCCTTTGACCTGTGAAAAAAAATTAAGGGCCACTGTAACATACATTTCAACAGCTTCTTTGTGTATAACTATAATTTACATGTAACTATTACATGTAGTACTAATCCTTTACCATAAATTAACAACATTGTAAGTTAGTAGTAAATAACATGATAACAGAAGGTAGTTGCCTACTAGTTGGTTCGTCCGAATAAAACAGACTGAGAAAAATTTATTATGTCGCTTTGTCAAGATGAACTGTTTTCAACCATGACTTTATTTGCGTACGTGTGTGTGTGTGGGGGGGGGGTATGTATAGGTCAAGACTCAGCTCAGCTCAACAACGGTAAGGTAAACCAAATTCCTTTTTCTACAGAGCATCTTGGAACTTGCCACAGATACTACATGTACGAAACTGTACCATAAAAGTTGATAACGTCGACGTAAGGTGTAAGATGATACCCTAAACGACCTTCCAGAATGGCGGACATCGGCTGCACAGCAAAAACACAGCAACCGTAGGCGAAAAACTAACGGCGTTAGGACATAATTTGCAACTTGAGTACATACCTTTGCAGTTCTTTGGACTAACTCTTAGCTGCAGACTGTTCTGGACCCCACCTTTAGGTGAGAAATGAGGCTGAAAACCTCCCCTCTGCAAAAGTCGAAGAAAATTCGCCGCCATGTTGGAACCAGGCGACTACTGCGCATGCGAATTCACTTTGCACGAAAAGCGACATCTTACGACTGACGGCAGAAACGCAACAAAATGGCGGTTCAGCTGAGCAGAATCACGTAAAAAAGGAGAAAACTTCCCTTTTTTGACTCATAACGTGTTTCATATCAGTCTTAAAATCAGGAAAGATCGAGAGTCAGGCAGCGACAAGTATGTAACCAATCTACTTCTTCTTACTAGGTTTTAAACTTGCCAAGAGTCCGGAATTGTTGGGGTGTGTGGGGGGCTTTCCCCTGCTTGGTGATTAGCACATCTATAACTTACAAGCTAGTGTGTTTGTTTGCAGCATCAAGATGAAGACTCGTGCATACATTATTATTCACACGAGCACATATATGTCATGTTAACGTTACGGTGAGAAAATTATGGGTAGTAGCCCAGTACTAGCTGAAATCTCTATTAAAGACTTAGTTGGTAATAACGTTACGTTTAACGGAAAGAGCCAAGACGCGTTTTAACGTTATATCATAAGAGTTGTTTTTTTTACTTTTTACATACGTGTTATACGTTTAGAGTAATTAGACAGGAACAACTTCTCTTAAGCCATAAGCACAAAGAACTGTTAACAAGTGTTATTACTCCGTGAAGGAGGTCAGGACCTCCGGACGGAGTGTTGTGAACGGTTGATTTTTCATGTTCGCAGTCAAAACACTGGGTTCTCTTTGTGTAATCGGCACGCAATTTTATACGCCGTCTGCGGGCATGCCCGTGTTGATGCACGAATGTGTATTTTTGCCGTTGCTGCTTTCGCGGTCAATGTAATATTGCAGACGCACCCATACAATTACGAGGCGAATTGGAATGGTCCAGAAAAACGCGTTGTTTGGAATAGCAGTGGGGGGGGGGGGGAACTTCATGCAGATACGGGGTGGTTTTTATAAGTGGTTCCAGATGTTTTTGCCCATGGTTAAGAGATGGCAAGTTTTTTGGAAGATGTTCGCAGCCAAAACGCATTCTTCCGTACGTCGCATTTCTGTGTAATTTCGCATGTGGTGTGGCATTATGTCCGGGATGATGCACGTCTTTTTATTTTTACCGTAGCTGTTTTGATATTGGAGTAAATGCTTATTTTCGAAACATCCCCATGTCGTTGAAATGTTTTCGTCCGGCCGTTTATGTGACCGGTAGTTGTAAGTGGCGGTCAGGCTGATGGGGACGGAAATATCTGGGGTGGTCAGAGGTCAACATTACGAAATGTAAATACCGATGACATAATCCTATCGATTTCAAACTGGTCGGCTGTGGCGAACCAGTGACGGCGTGTATTTAGTCACGTAGCAACTGGCCGGTCGTCCTAGCAACGAGCATGCTGGCCACTCCACTGTTCACATGGCCAATATTTTTGGGTTGGGCCGCTCCATAGTGTTTAAATATAATAGTGGAGCATCTCTTTGAAAAAATGGACAATATTTTTGAGCAACCCATCAATGTGTTCTCGGCCTCGTGGTCGGATGTGGTCTGGGGCTGGTAAACCGCACATACATGTACTAGTAGATCGGGTAATTTTATGATTTGCTAGTTGTAAAGGCATCTTGTAGTATGAGCCTGTATATGAAGAAGTAGCCTGTGTTACACAATCATGCTTTCGGCCGGATTGATGTGCAACTGTTACTAATTACAGGGACTGCGCTAATGCCGACCAGTCGCGCTGTCCTGATACACCGCGAATGGTGGGCAATATGCGAGTGTTCCCTGTAGACAGTCCCGGGAGTCATTTTTTTTCGCACATTCGCACATTCCAGGAGCCAAACCAAAATACGTTCATGAACCGAGTCCAAAAAACCGAAACATGAAAATCGGATGATCGGACCTGATGTACATTTCTCTTTCTGTAGATTGTACACACAATACACACATCTTTAGATAATCTGGCCATGGCAGGTAAAAAAAAAGTAACCCTGAATCATACTAGATTAGCGTAAATGCATGTTTATGCGTTCAAAACAAGAAAAGAAATTGTTTCCCGGTATTAATCTCTTGAAACACGGCGCTGAATATTGACGCAACAATATTTCGGGCATTGCGCCCTTCCCCGTTGTTTAGACTGTATGCAAATCCTGCGTCACGTGTCGGCATTTCGCATCTCTGATTGGTTGTTGCGTCTTAAGATGACTGAGCCGACGTGCGTTTAAACAATTTTTCTTTGTTCGATTTATCACACTTCACAGAGAATTGCCAATGGCTACTTCTTTTTGTTGCAATATATAATACTTCACGGAGAATTGTCGCCTATGGCTTCTTGTTTTCTGTTCACAGTGGAGAATTACGAGAAGGGAGAGGTGGTGGCCGTACCAGATGACACCCCCACCCCCTGGGGGGACGACGTTCTGGAGATGAAGGTCCAGCACGGCAGCAAAGTTCGCAACCTCATGGGGTTCGCCGTCAGGAAGTTCAAGGTACTAGTATGAGTCTGAGTCTTACTCTGAGAAACTGTAGCTAAAATTTTCCTTGTACGTTGTAGCTTGTGGTAGCCTGACTAATCGCGTTCCTGGCGGCCGGCCGCCCCGAAGTTGCCGCCCCCCAACTGGGGTGGGGGTCATTAACCTCCGGCCGAGAGCTTGTGTAACACAGGCTATAGCTTGTGGGATTGCATTTTAACTAAACCTGCTTGCCTTTAGTAGTACCTCCTCCATGGTAGTACTACTCTGGGAAAGAGTAGCTTTGCAGAGTATGATACAAGAACATAAGAACAAATTAAAATAATGTTACGTAACCTTAATACATTTGATGTTTTTACTTTCACAAGTTCATAGTTTTTATCAGAAACTGCATACGTTCTCTGCATAAATATTGGACTAGACAAATGTTAAACATGCTGCATGTACAGGCTACTAGCCCTGGATCCCTGTCGTTTTATTACTGTTAAAGAAGTAAGAAACTCGGTTTATTGTTATTTCAAGTCTAAATAAAATGCTGCTCCAAACACTCATTCATCATCACTCATCGTCCGGCTGCGGAGCAGTCGACCACAAGTCTTCCCCACGACCGTCGATCCGCCGCCAGGTTGGCAATGTCCTCTGGCCGCAGGTCACCCTCGGTGTCCCCCAACAGGTTCCGGACGTAGCCCAGGTAGTCGAGTCGCTGGCGCCCTGGGCGCCTTTTGCCGTGCGCCGGTACATACAGGGCATATGTTCGGCATGGTTCCCCCACAGGCATTCTAAGTGCATGTCCCAGGAAACGAAGTTGACGCTGCCTTACCATGGTGATAAGGGGTCGAGTGTTTGTCAACTTGTAGATCCAGGCGTTGCTCACATGGTCTAGGCGCTTGATGTTAAGCATGACCCTATAGCATGATGTGGCGAACGCGTTTAGCTTATTCTCCATGTCCCCCGTTATGACCCAGGATTCACAGCCATATAGCAGTATTGTCACGCAGGTGGTGTTGAAAAGCTTGAGTTTAGTGGATGTGGAGATTGATGGACTTCTCCAGATCTTCTCCAGCTTCCAAAAAGCAGTCCATGCAAGTGATTTCCTCTTAGCCATGTCATGACTGCTAGAGGCCATCATGGACCCCAGATATTTAAAGTTGGCAACATGTCTTATTGGCTGACCATATACCTCTAGCGGCAGTTGTGGGCTGCAGTTATACGTCATGTACTCTGTCTTGGGTACACTGATGATGAGCCCAAGTTGTTTCCCCGCAGCTGCTGTTTTAGTAAGCTGTTCCTGCGCCCTGGGTATGGTTGACTCAAGAAGAGCAATGTCGTCGGCAAAGTCCAAATCATTAAGGGTTTGAGCAGGATGTCTTCTGGATTGCCGAGGATGCGTAACTACGCCAGAGTCTGTGCCTTTGGTTGATTCTAACAACAGGTAGTCTATAAGCACTATTTTATTGTATTTTATTAAACACTCATTACTTTTGGTAGAAACTTGGATCGAATCAGAATTGTTCTTCGACAGACCTGAAGCAAGGTTGACAACTAGCATTATATATTTGTATTCATGAGAAGTTCTCAACAATACAATAACTGTACTTGTTTACAGGATGAGACAGTGAGACAGATTGTGTGGTCAGGTTCAGACAAGGCCATCTCCAAGACTGTCACATGTGCAGAGATACTCAAGAGGAAGTTCAAGAATATTCATCAAATAACCAAGATTAGATATAAAATGTGAGTACTGATCAACTGATTTTGCCACCATTACAATTTTACATATTGTTTTCTATTTGAATAACTTGTTTATCTGAATGAATAACATTCATGCTGTAATGTTTCCACCCGAACTAAATGTTTGATTTGAATTGTTTATTCTTAAAACAGAGTTGAAGAAATCTGGGAACCGAAGATGGAAGGGCTTGACAGGTAGGATTTTACTTCAGCTTGAAAGACTCTCAAGTAACTTTTGACATGCTTATTATAACAATGTATTGTCTTATGCCACAAGTCATGCATCTGGGGCAATTCTACATAGGAAGTTATTCTGGTGGAAAGTTAAAAAAAAGTAGTGGTGGTCCCTTCCTTATAATGGTAAAGATCTTGATTATTCTGATGAGTTCAAATTTCTTATATTCACATTATACAGCACAGGTAATATAAGTGTACACCGTGTCCTTTCTTCAGAAATACCCAGCTGTTTTACAGAAGTGCTTCTGAACAGAATGCTCCTTTGTTTCTAATAGGTTGAAGGTGAAGAGACAGATACCTGCAATCTCCATTCTTCTGTCAAAGGATGCCCTGGACAAAGATGAACAAGGGTAGGTCAGGTCTGGGGTTGGAAGTCATAGACAAGCAAGTTTCTAAGTTGAAAGCAAAACCTATTTCCCTATTTCCTACCCTTGAGTACTGTAGAGAAACCCATAATCCTAATTCAACTAGACCTACCTTCCATAAAAAAATACAGTGTATCTGTTCTTTTACATGTATCTCTAGTATAAATAAAAAGCTAGAAGTTGAATTCATTGAATAAGTTTTATTTTGTATCTGTCAACTGTTATATAGTACATTTTCATCATGTTTTGCTGTGACCTGTACTTAGGTAAGTGTGGCAAACATGTGCAATAATTCAATTTTCTGCCTGTAAGGCCACACCAATTTAATTTCTTGGTTAACAGATTTTTCTAGAAAAATAATGGAGCCGGCGGGCGGAAAAAAAAAACAGGCCTAGGCATCCTGTTATGGCCCAAAATGGTACGATAGGAGCCACGAAGTCAACACACCAGGCTGGTTCAAAATTTAAACAATGAATTTTGAACTTTTAATGATACCATTGCATTGAAAGGTGGAATAACTGTAAGAACTAGGATGAAAAGGACTGTTTTCAACTGTTCAGGGCAAAATATGAGCATTTTGCAGTTGATTCTGAATTTTTATTTTTATTTGCAAATCAGAAAAAAATGAAGCGGGCGAATCCGTTAACCAAGAAATTAAATTGGTGTGGCCTAAGGTAGAAAGATCTTGTCTGTAAAGATATTGTCTCCTGTATCTCCAGTTACCAGGCTCCAGGAACCTATGACTCACTGTGGAACCCAGCATCTCAACAGACCAGGTCCAAACCGGGCAAGAAGAGGGGACCACCCAGTAATGCTAGAGGAGTGGGGCAGAAGTCCAAATCCCCCAAACCTGATGGAACTCCCAGTAGTAAGAAACAAGGGGGGAGGGGCCAAGGGAGAGGGGGAGACAGACAGCAGGGGAAAGTACAAGACAGAGGGCAGCAGAAAGATTAGTTACATGATAGACTAACATTACAACATAAATGTATAAATGGTACATATGTATTTGTACATAAACCTTATGATCATCAAAAACATGTTTCAAACTACTGAGTATATGCTTCTCAGGAGTTTTCTTTGTCAAATAGTGAGGACACAATGATATGATTAGTTTGCACAGCTTGGTTGTAGCTGTGAACGAAGTTGTACATTAGATCCCATCAGAAGTCTTCACTCGCAAAAATGAAGATATTAATTTAAATACAACTGCATCAGTTTTTTTATCTACATATAAAGTTTTCATACTCCATATATTGATCTTTACTCCTGCAAATGTGGATTCCATGACTAGTTAATCATTGCTTAGTGAGGAAACAATTTTTATCAAGTGCGCACGGAATTCTCTGGTTACCTCTTTACCATGCTCAGCTACAAACGTATAAGGCTCTAGTATATGAGGCTCTAGCCCCTGTGTTAAATGGTACAATCAGTCAAAGGAAGAACCTCAGAACACTTTTATGTTTACCGAAGGAAAACATATTGTTTTTGCTCAGTTTCTTCCTCTTCTTCTTCTCCAAACAGTGACCTCTGACCTGGCCAATGGCCTCATTTGTTGACGTCTGCCACCACAGTAACTGGTGTTGGGTTACATAATGTTGCAATTTCATAGTAGGCATTTAGACGCCTGTCACCATATAACGTTACATGTATGTGAATGTGTTTGAGTAAGAAATAACAGAGCAGACCATATACGAAGGTAAACATTATGCATTTGCTTTGCAAATGTCAATTTTCTAGTTTTAGAGAACCGTATCTATGGTAATTTCTTGCAAAGGTGAAAATTCACATAATTTGCTACTACGGAACTTGCCCGACCACGCCTGTCAGAGCCGCACGTGATCACGCATCACACCTTGCACCCTTACGTAAACTTCAGTTTGAACTTTGCAACCTGTTGCATGAAGCGTGACATTGCCCTCAAACCCAACTGGTGCTACCTTGCAATTACAAAAAACTCACATTTAATTCCCTGTGTAAGGGATGCCAAATCAACACGGACACACAGTATTGTAATAGTACAGACATACTTTGTAAATGTTTTGCTTTGTGTTGTGGTTAGACATGAACGCCCTTTATATACCTGTCGCATTGTCAGCATCGTGCCAGAGTCTCGTAGCAACGCCAGGATTTATGCCTGACCTGGGGCGAGGAAGTTGGACTGTGGAACCTGAATCTGCACTTCTCAACACTTAAACCTTCAACTATTTCAAGTCGTATTCTTTGACTATCAAAGGGTCGCTATGTTTAAGACCTGTTCACATGTACACAGGCTTTAGAACTGGCCATTTTTCTGATATGCAGTTTAGTATGTTGGAGCAGAAGGCAAAACGTCAATGTTGACCCTCTAAAAATTCGTCTTGACATGACACGGGGGCAGTGTAACAAGTAGACAGTTTAGAAAATGGTGTTAACCTTTTTGTCGCTCTATCGCCTCAATATTTTAAAAGAATTCGTGTTCTATGGCGGTTTATGTCCATGTAAACATTAACAGTGACTATTAAGGGTGACTGACCTTTTTCAAAGGTTAAACAGTCCACGCCTTTCATATGTGACATACCACGTGATTCGTTACGCTACTGCCATTGGTTGAATAGTCACAACGCCCCTTAGTGCAAACTGAGCGTGTGCCTCGCGCGACCGTCTCCTCCCATTTTCACTTCTGACTGCCTTCAACCTGCGACGCTTGAAACTCTCTTTCCGACAAGATGTCGAAAACTGCAAAAATGCAGAACGGTGGCTCTAAGGCGGAAGTACAAAATACCGACGGGGTAAGTACAATTTCTTTCTACCTAAAAACTCGAATCTGAACTCAAAAGTTGTTCTGCAAAGCCACAAAATTTACTAGCGCCACTAAAGCGATCGCACAAACGGAGCGAGCTCTAACCTTCATCGTCATACATTTTTGATCGTCTTGCATTTTACCCAGAATGTCAACTTAACTGTTATGGCATTTTAATCATGTCCTTCTACTTACATAATCCATGTATGATTTAAAATCCATATTAGTCCATTATTTCTGGGTGACGACCTTTCCAGACTCAACTACCCTTTCTTCCGAGCAACTAGGTTGATGGGCAAATGTTAATCCTACGATACAATGCATTTTACCATCTAAATAAAGTCGTGTGAAGCATAGACTGAGTAAGTAGTTCCCTCCACGTTATGTTTAATACCTAAAGCTTAGCTTAAATCACAAGTCCCGACCCTTGCGCCACCGCTGAAAGGTCGTGGCAGTAGCGTCGGGGGGCAAATGTTACTTATCAACTATGAACAAACGAACCAGTGTGCGGCTTGTCTTACTTCAACATTAACGCCCTGATAAGCAAAAACTAACTGCTACCTACTTCCAGTGTCTACTAATCGTGTTGAAGAGTCCTATACACCTTCTGATAGACCTTAAATGGTCCTGTGCATGGACAGGCTATCACTTTTTCATGAAAGTAGTTTACCACCATAAAGATAGATGCTATGGTGACCAAAACATGCATTCTTGTTAAAGAGGCCACACCCGGATGAATGTCCTGTGTTGATATCACGAGACCCAATATTTGTTTACCTGCTGACAGTAATGCAGTGTCAGACCATACCCTGACACTGTCTGGGGCGATACTTTGCTGACAGTTGATTGGACGCCAGAAAATTCAATTAACAAAACTAACGCTATACATGTCTTCAATGATTCTGTTTGAAAGTTTCAACACAAGTCTTGTTTGGGCACATTTTGTGACTTATCTGTTGGTCGGTGATACAGATTGCTGATTGACGAATTTACCAAAAATAGCACAGAAGACACACCCATCAGTGCACACAAACGTGACAATCAAGCAATGGTCATTTATGGCATAAGTGTGAGATGTTCTTCTACCCTAATCTGCATAATCATGTAAATACAAACCTTGATGGTCCATCGGTATCCTGTTCAAATGGTACCTCTAGACGGCTTTTGACACATTATATAACATTTATCGAAATCAGTAACTCTTGCGGCGGTAACAGTGTATATACCCCAAGAAGCAACTAGTTGTTGTCCTACTAGAAAAATGTATTTCTTCATTTTTTGGCAGGACCTATAAGTCTAACGTTATAATTATGGAGGTAACAAGTCCGTGAAGACGATGCAATGCATTTACTACATCTGTTCTAACGACATTGGAATTGCCATGACCCGGCAGGCACCCCAAACCCCTAACAAAACATTCATAAGTCTCTGTCAGGAAACGCCCTAGTCACACCCATGGCAATACAAATATTCATCCAAATGTCCCGAATCAACCTATTAACATGAATTTTAAATTTCGTTGCATCATTTTTATACCATTCCTGCAGATGTGTAAATTCAGCATTTGGAAATGGTGCCATATGTAGCGTTATTTAGCCTTTCATACTGTGTGTGAGAATATATATATGCCATTAATATTCGTGTACCTATCTGTATCTGAATCTGTATAGCCGGTATAACCGCCCTTCGGCGTAACACACCAGCTGCAGCTGCATGTGTACATAGGACTTTTTGTGTTAATTAAAAAGTCTCCGAGTTTAGTGGTTACTGATGGTGCATTAAAAAAATTTTTCCATCTCTTTTGGACTTAAGGTCACATTACAAAACATGTGCATGTAGATGATAAGAAAGTTTGAAATAACATTATAATGTGGCTGCTTTACCGTTAAAGGTAATTTCTCAATCAAACGTTTTGGTTGTTTTTTATCTCCCAGCGCATGACGTTCCTGTTGTTCATGTCTGTGTTCATCTCTGTGTTCGGGTCGCCGTTCCAGTACGGCTACAGCACCAGCGTGGTCAACGCGCCCGCAGAGGTAAGATACATCCACCAAGTCTTGTTTAATGGTGTCGTGTGGCGTATCGGTAGCGTGTTCGGCCCAGGCCCAAGAGGTCCCGAGTTCGAATCCTGCCCGGTGTCACCGATCTTATGCCCTTGGGAAAGGCACTTAACACGACTTTCCTCACTTCACTCAGGTGTAAATGAGAACCTAGCTTCGGTTAGGGACGTCCCTCGGATAGTGCGTTAAATGAAGGTCCCGTGTTTTGGAGAGCCACACCCCATGGCCCACGCACGTTAAAGAACCCACCGCACTTATCGAAAAGAGTAGGGGACCTTCCCGGTGTGAGTGGTTCAAACCTTACAGTCTGGTCTCAGGTTTGACATCTTGAAGAGGTAATAGTCACCTGTTATGTCAATCCTTCCACAAATGTGGTAAATCTTCATAGAATAAAAATAAAATAAACTTGAAGCTTTATTCTAAGCTTTATTCTTTTGTTGTATTAGTCTTTCAGGTATATTTTTAACACTGTGGTAGCAATATAATATTGATGATAATAATGATAGCTTTTACAAGGGCAATTATAGTAATTATACTTGTCATCCCGGGTGAGACAACAAAATGAATCGGTATTGTAATATGAAAAAAAGGACAGTTTTAGGCTCACGTTCTTATCATAATCAAATTGAATATTGCGATACATTTGTCAGATGAAGAATAAAAATGACAGATTCATAAGAAAGGTATAAATACTCAGTACTGCCCAATCCACCGAGGGTGACTTTGCAAGTATAACAAACTGTTCAAATACACAGCGGAAAAGCGCGTAATGTTGCCGATAGCAACACGAGGAAGGCTAATATTATCATGACGTTTTGACGTCATCGGACACACACGAGACTTCCAGGTGTGACAAATCCAAATGATACGCCACACGTGACATATCCGGCCGATATTATATGTATACACATAACAAAAAGTAGATGTATATCTATTATTAGTTAGAATACATGCACTGAAGCACGCAAAAATGGCTCATTTTATACACATCTGTTATTGTAGGCTTTGTAAGCTTGCATATTTTCTCGACAATCACTTTAATTAGGCCACACCAATTTAATTTGTTGGTTCTCGGATTTTTTTCAGAAAAAATATGAAGCGACAGGGCGAAAAAAAATAAAAATAAAAACAGGTCTAGGCATCCTATTATAGGCTTAAATGCTACAAAATGAGCCATGAAGTCAACACAAAAGGCTGGGTTAAAATTTAAACATTGAATTTTGAACTTTTAATCAAATCACTGCAATGATAGATGGGAAAACTGTAACAACTAGGAAGAGAAGGACTTTCCTCAACTGTTGGGGGCAAAATATGAGCATTTAATCAGTTGATTCAGGACCAGAATCAATTTTTTTTTTTGCAAATCAGAAAAAAAACGAAGAGGCGAATCCGAGAACCAACAAATTAAATTGGTGTGGCCTAATTGTCAGTTGAGTGGTTGGGATAAATATATTTTTTGCATCTTCTCTTTACACATGAGTGGCATTTTGCCCACTGTAAATATCTACAAAGATAAATTCTGTTAAACACCATTGTTTGATAACCACCCGGCCTCTGTAATGGAATAAAAGTTACTGATTTACCGGTGCTTGGTTGTGGTTGTCCTTGGTAGACTGCATACTACTCCCGAAATGGTACAATGTTTTTATTCGGGAAGTGTACACACACCCACAATACACCCACTGTACACCCGTATGCCATTAATCTCATTAATACTGTAATAGGTCTTGACTAGGATGTTTGTACTTCTCTCAGTGGCGGTAGACACAAGCTTTGAGCTTTCAGAAAGAAAAGTAAAGGTCTCTCAGGTGAATAATTAAGGAGGTAAGGTCACCTATAAGGCTATAGAGTTTCCTTCCATGGGTAATTTGTCTTTATAACGGACTGTGCTAGTCCAATTGTGTTACAAACTATTCGTGTGCTGTAAGGTGTTTCATAGAGAGATGGTATCATGGTACCCAGGATTGAAAATGAGCACCATTTTATAAAGGATTGTACACTATACAATGATAAGCGCCTATTGTTGTTCACCTTTCTTTCCGCTTGTTCAATTCATTTTAATACGTTTAATTCTATAGATAAATTCAACTACATTCTCAGGGGAGATAACCAGTACAGTATTCAAATAGGACAATACATTAAAGAATGTTTCGATCTTAGAGACCACATGTTAGAGAATAGTTAAACCTTCATTGTTACGGCTTACGTTACAGATTACGTTATCCACACATGTATTTAGCTTTGTTAGATCTTTAGTTGTAGAAGACCATACAAAAGTCACTGTACTTTTTTGTTGTGTCAATAAAGAATCTATATTGTGAACGGGTTGAAAAAAATGGCCCTCTTAGACGTTTGGTGTTTTTTTCAAGCTGCAAATGATCAGGGTGTCATTACAGTTCTTTCAACTTTGTACACATCCCTCAACTGTCAATAAGCCGAGAAAAACTCAAACAATGACTACCATGTCCTGTGCCTTATTCAGTGAGTTGTTGATCCAACTGTCGGTCACCCGGGAGGTGGGATAGAGGTGTGTGATGCAGCACGTACTCTCATTCGCTGGCTCCGGATAAGGGTATTGATCTGCCCAAGTGGAATGTTGTGTACATACTTCTTGTATCCTGGTACCTTTGGTATCTTGCCCTGGTACCTTTGGCATCTTGTTTTGAAACAAAAGGCAATTGATTTTTTTTTCATTCGTAACTTTTTCTGACTTCGTAAAAAGATAAACCGAGAGGTCCCGAGAGGTCCCGGGTTCGATACTCACCGTAGCCCGACGTTGTGCCCTTGGGAAAGGCACTTTACACGACTTTCCCACCTATACGGTGGAGTGACGCCCACCGAGCCTCTTAGGCTAATCTGTCTGTCAAGGTGCCAAAAACACCTTACGGATTTGGTGCGCCGATGTGACAACATCTCATGTCTACCACTGAGAGCCATAACATTTTTTTTGATAAAGCTATCCAGTCATCACACGCCAGTTTTAAGCTTTTCTAAGAGAGCTTTGTGGTGTTTTTTTTTTTTGCCAAAGATGAGTCAAAACCGCACCCTGGTTAAACTTAAGGTTTCCAGCGCAAACTTTATGTTTGCTATACCAGGCTGCCCTACTTCGTTATCTGGTTGATGAGTGTCGTTTTACATCTTATAATGACGTTTACAACGAGGGGTGTAAACTACATCCAGTGACAAAGCTTGTTACAACAAAGAAAAGGGGGCACGCTGACGATAAAGTTGAGACAAAAAGAAAAGTCATCATCTGATTTGTGTTCCTTTTCTAGATCGTTTATCCCGACAAGTAATTACCAAAAAGGTTATGTTTTCAGAAGCGTTCGTGTGTGTGTCTGTGTGTCTGTAAACACGATAACTTGAGAAGACTTAAATAGATTGTCTTCATATTTGGTGGGTGGGTAGGTCTTGATGAGACCTCGCCAAGATTAGATTTTGGGCCCCCTGGCAGCTTGTTACTATTCCGACAGTGTGAGGGGTGTTGTGGAGCATATGTAATATTGGGAAACATGGATGTGTGAACAAGTTGTTAACACTCTAGCGGTCGTTAGAGGTGTCTCAGACAAACAAGCATTTACTGCTGACGTGGGAAACATTCGTCATACAACGGGTTTACAACACTGAGCAAACTAAGGGGATCTGTCAAGCAGCCATAGATGTGCCGCGCAAAATTCAGCTCTTTTGTGACGAAAAAATTAATCATAAGGTTTATCTAGCAACATCGTATGATTTGATTATGTGTTGTCCTTGATAAAGAGAGTATTGTTTTGATATATACAGAGACCAAAGACCATGTTTGTTGAAGTTCTGTGACCTTCGTTTCTGCGTGTGTGGCTCCTCACTGTGGCTACTTTTCAATCAACATTTCATACACATCTGTTATTGTAGGCTTTGTAAGCTTGAATATTTTCTCGACAATTACTTTAATAATTGTCAGTTGAGTGGTACGGGATAAAGATATTTTTTTCACCTTCTCTTTACACATGAGTGGCATTTTGCCCACTGAAAATGTCTAAAAAGATCAATTCTGTAAAACACCATTGTTTGATAACCATCCGGCCTCTGTAATGGAATAAAAGTTACTGATTTACCGGTGCTTGGTTGTGGTTGTCCTTGGTAGACTGCGTACTACTCCCGAAATGGTACAGGATACACGTGTGCAAATATAGCTTGTTCGCACGTTTCATGTGATGACAATATACATGCATCGGAAGTTACGGGTTGCTTGGCGGTCTCATTTTCTAGTTTGCTCAGGATATAGAAGTTAACATTGCTGTTGGCAATGCATGGAACTCTAAGCAACAAGCAATTTGATTCGCGATGAATTAAAAACATATAACATAAAATAAAAACATATAACATATAACAGGCAATAAAAACATATAACATATAACAAGCAATTTGATTCGCGATGAATTAAAAACATATAAGCACGATACCACTACTGCTAACATTCTAGGATTCTACAGGTTTTTAAATGAGGCATTAGACAAAAAAAGAGTATAGGTTTGCTCTTTGAAATGCTATCATGTTGGGTACAGAACATGGATGGGAAAGAAAGTGCCTTTGTTTTAAATGTCTTTTGTTGTTGCATTCGTTTAGCTCATGCAGAATTTCTACAAAAAATCCTTCTACAACTTCACCGGCGCTGAGCTGGCTGATGACAGCCTGACCGTGCTGTGGTCCACAACAGTGTCTATCTACTGTCTGGGTGGACTCATAGGGTCTCTACTGGTGGGGCCACTCGCCTCAAAAATAGGGAGGTCAGTCCAACTGTGATGTTCTCTTTTTTATAAGCTATTTTAAGCACAGATCTTGTGAACTGTTGAATGTTCACGTCTATATGAAAGGTAGCGGTTAAAATAGACCAAAATAGGCCAATCATCTTTAATTTGCAATAGTGTACGTATAAATGTGTGTATATTAAAATGTTCGACTTTTCGATCGGTAGTGACATTGATGGTAGGTAGCCATGGACAGTATGCATGAGTCAACCACACCCTGACACTCTGAATGATTTTTCATAGGAAAGGCGCGATTCTCTTCAACAATATCTTCTCTCTGTCGGCTGCCGCCTTGATGTTTGGGGCCAGGTTTGCCAACTCCTACCACATGATCATTCTGGGCAGAACGATTGTGGGGATCCACAACGGTGAGACCACTGTTACTTGTATTCATAACATCAGTGCAATGTAGGTTGAGTAGTGCACTACACTGGAGGTTATGCAAGTTTAGATATCTTTAGATTCTTTATTCAGTAATGATATCGCGGGCAGCACACCCGAATTTCGTCCTTATTACAGAGAATTTTCAGAGTATCGACCACATTAAAACAACGACACTCCACATAACATAGTTCACATGATATAAAATATTTACAAAAGCATTACACAGTTAAAATCTATAATAGTATGTCATTACCACATGCTTTAGCTAGGTGCTACTGATTAATTGTTGTAGAGACGAACTAGCCGACTGCACAATGAAGTAAAGAATTGCTAAGGTAACAAGGTAACAGTTGCTGAAGCAACTGCTAGTAGATTTTGAAAACGGTCAGACGCGAAGTTCAGGTAGCATCAGCCATGTTGTAGCTACATGTACTTGTGTTCAACGGTGATATCACACTAGACTCTATCTTATGAGTTATGGCTTTCTTTTAATGATCTAAAGCTTTCTACCCTGTGTTTTAAAGTGTAATTGTGTATTGTGCAGGCTTGTCTATCGGAGTAGTTCCCATGTACCTGTCGGAGATTTCCCCGCCCAACCTGAGAGGTGGAATAGGCGTGACGTCACAGCTACTTACCACTATCGGCATCCTGGTGGCGCAAATCCTCGGGCTGGAATTCATACTCGGTAATTCACATGTCTTTATTCTCTAAACATGAAATGCTGCACTTAAATAAAATGGCAGATAAAATTCAATGCTATGACTAGAAAGGCCAATATTTGCTTTGGAGCAAATACAGCGATGGCTTCACCACATTTTACGACATGGCAGGGAAAGAATGAGAAACACAAGGGAAAACAATGCTTTACATTGATATAACTATAATATGAAGTAACATACAACTAAGACTACAACAGTTGGCTAGCTATTCCCTACATTATTGGTTAGGATTTTTAATTGCATAATGCAAACTGTTGATTTTCAAAAAAAAAAACGTTCATGCCCCGCATTCCAATGCTGGAGCAGGAAAGCTTGAAATACCTACCAAAACACTTGAATACAGATATACTGTCAGTATGGAAATGGTCTGTGCAGGTGTTAATCAAGTTAAATCCCAACAGCCAATCAGCAAGAAATGCTCTGTGCAGGTGGAAATGGTCTGTGCAGGTGTTAATCAAGTTAAATCCCAACAGCCAATCAGCAAGAAGAAGAGAGGAAAGCTGCATGCCTATTGGTTGATGCCCTGCATTCCATTGTGATGACTCATGCCAAATGTGGTTAACACTGCCCACTGACACAGTAATACATTTGCTATAATACAGCCAAAAAACTCAAATAAAACCATTCTAAAAGCCTGTATCACAAAAATTTAAAAAAACGCCTAAGGGTATTTGCCCACTGTACCTCCATACCAAATTTCAGATCCTTAGGCCCCAAAATGAAGAAGCTGAATCCATTTTAAAAAATGGCAGGAGAAGAAGAAGGAGGAGAAGAAACATCAGAGAAAACAATATGGTTTCACCAGACCACTTCGTGGTCTGGTGAAGCCATAAATAGTTTCATCAGGATGGTAAGTCACTGAGTAAAGAGATTTTTTTTACACAACGAAGTCTTTTATTCAGCCGACGTTTCGGTGACCGTCTGTCACCTTCCTCAGGGCAGTTCTGACTGGTTCACAAACACTGACAGTCACTGTGCGTTTGAGAATGCGTCTATAGCAGCGACATCTGTGCTGCCATGCGATGTGAACCAGTCAGAACTGCCCTGAGGAAGGTGACAGACGGTCACACACACACATAAGAACGATTAAACCAGTCTACAACTATCACTACTACTACATAGAGTAAATCATTCCATTTTCATCAATTTGAAATGTTTTGTCATTTTATAGGCAATGAAGACTATTGGCACTACCTCATGCTGGTTGGTTACGTCATTCCATCCGGGATACAGCTGCTGATCCTGCCGTTCCTTCCCGAGAGCCCCCGGTACCTGCTCATCGACAAGGACTCTCCGGAGAAGGCTAAAAAGGGTACGTACAGATACAGATGAAGGCAGAACACAGGATGTATCTCCTAGCGTTTTGGCGTCTAAAACCTCATGTGGAGCCCCACGAAAAGCGACTTATAGCTACATGGCCGAATGAAGTGAGCTATCTGTATATTGAGTCACAAAACAAACAAAACAAACAAACAAACAAAGTCATTCAGCAAAGTGTAAAAAAGAATCATATGGCGACGTATGGCGACTAATTTCAAGTAATGTGCGAATCAGAAAGAAGACAAGTGCAGATATAAAAGCAAGAGGAAGTCTTTTCTCTTTTAGGTGGATGAAAGACAGCAATTTGAAAGTAGCTGACTTAGCGCAAGAATACGTTTCAATTTAAAGTTACAGTTGAAATTCAAAGTTTTTGTTGTGTTTTTTTATTCAGTTCTGCAGAAGCTTCGTGGAGAGAAGGACGTGGATGCCGTCCTGGACGACATGAAACTTGAAGATGAGATGCAGAAGAAGGAACCGAAGATGCACGTGTTCGCCCTGCTGAAGTCCCGCGCCCTGCGGTCTCAGCTCGTCTGCTGTGTGCTGGTCATGGCGGGGCAGCAGTTCTCAGGCATCAACGCCGTAAGTTAATTTTCGAGTAAAACAATCATCTACTGAACCCTAACGAGCTTCATAAACGCAACGAATCTAGTTAATCACTTACTTCAAAGCAGTCCTTAATGGTTACTGCCCTTCAGTGTAACACCAGCTTCGCAGGCACGCCGCGCGGCGGTAGCTGGCTACATTACACCGACCGACGTGTTACGCCTAACCCTTGAACATCTCAAAACATTGTTTAAAGTTATCTAGTAATAATACCCCTACAATACTTGGTGACAGCGAGTTCCACTCTGCGATAGTTCTAGGAAAGAATGAATTCTTGAACACCTCAATCCTTGATTGATCACTCTGGTACTTGAAGGCATGGCTATTTTTTGTTCTTTTCTGGGCTGGTATTAGGTTTGTCTCAGGATTAAGTTGTTTCCTAGACTCATCCCCACCTTCTCATAACAAGCTCCCACAAGCAGAAACAAGATTGTCCATTTTGTTACAGATCTTCTTCTACTCGACGTCCATCTATGAGAAGGCCGGCGTGCCCAAGGAGTACAGTCCGTACGCGACTATAGGAACCGGTGCCATCAACGTGTTTATGACCATAGTCTCGGTAAGCAAGGTTATAAGTAAGTTATTAGCTAAAGAGATAAAACAGGTTGGCTAATCCTTGGCTGATCCAAGTCCAAAAGTTTTAACGGGGGGTGCCCTAACTTCGAACGTGCCCTAACTTCGGACGGATTTTTTTACCGATCTTATTGTGCAAAAGTATGCCGTGTTTGTTGCCACTAACTTCGCTAATAAAAAAAGCAAATAAACATAGTCAATACATAAAGCTGTTATTTGCATGCAAAGTATAGTTCTAAATGTCGTTATGTCGAGGAAAAAAATTCTTTTGCCTTGTTCATACAAGTTCCATGATAGAATGCACAATGCTTATATTGGTAATTCTCAAGTTGCTTGACTTCTATAGGAACCTTATGGGAATCTGGTTTCATATTTTAATATGACATATGTTTGTCGTTCAGGTTCTTGTGATTGACATCACAGGGAGAAAGGTCCTGCTGACGTGGCCACTCGTGTTCATGACGTTGGCCTTCGCCATTCTAACTGTAACCCAAGGCTTGTCTGAGGTATGTCTGCATCTTTTGTACAACATTATAAGAGAGTCTGAATATAACTAGCCGAACCTTTGATACATCCTGAAGTTCATAAAATTCACAATGACATTTACTTTGCGTCGTTTGCTATCACCTGGTCCTAATGTTCTCCAATACCAATAATCGCGCGCGCTATCGAAACTACTCATCCTAATGTAAAAACTAGTTTACACACTTCAGTTATTATTTCTGTGTCTTGATTTTGTTTAATTAATCAATTATTTATTTCATTGTTTAATTTTGATGTTAGATTCAAATATGTTTTGTCATGTATCATAGTTACCTTTGTTTGTGGTAGGCCCTTTAAAAAAACATCTAGGTTTCTGGCCTACCCCGCATATTCTCTTATTGTTATTATTTGATTATGTAACTTTTTTTATACGTGCAAATAATAAATAAACAAATAAACAAATTCAGCTTAGAAATCAGATTTTTTTTCAGAATCTAAACTGACTACATTTTTTCTACTATATTTCAGTACCTGTACTGTGTATGTGGCTGCTCTCAAGGGATAAACCCTAACGCCACACTTGTGGGGGATGTCTGCCAGTTCGTGAACCAAACAGGCACATACGAAGAGACGATAGCCAATCTAAATACAACGGATCCATACGCCTGGATAGCCTACCTTAGCATCGTCTTCGTCATTCTGTACATCATTGCATTCGCCATTGGACTAGGTGAGTACCACTTACTTTTAAAAACCGTCCAATATTGTACTGGATTGCATGTACCGTTTTATACTAGGTTAGTCCAATTTATTTCTTGATGTACCACAAGAAACTGTCCTTTCTCCCCAGAGATGCATATAAATATATGCATATACATATAGCAGAAGTGGCTTGTTTTTACCTTCTTGTATTAATGATATATGTGCCTACTTGTTCTAACTGCTTTTAAATATGTTGTAAATATATACTGTTATCTTTTTGAATTGATCTATATGATCCTCATATTATGTACGATTTTAATGGAATATTTAACAGATGTCATGTTATCATGCAACGCTGTATGTAACATGCGAGTTGATCACAATAAATCTGAATCTGAATCATTATGCTGTACTGTATGATTCATAATGCCTATTGGATATTAGAACAACGCCTACATACACATTCTCTTACGTTGTTGTGAAAATCTGTTCCTGTAGGACCGATCCCTTTCATCATCACTACCGAGATGTTCCGGCAGGGGGCGCGACCAGCTGCTATGATGCTCGTGGGCAGCACGAACTGGATTTCAAACTTCATAGTTGGTCTTCTCTTCCCACTAGCACAGGTAGGCTTTACCTTACGAGTCACTGGTTTATCCATGAAGTATTTTACAGGTTTCTAAAAACTACAGACAGAAGAGCCAAGCTTGCAAGATGTCCAAAAATCATGGCGAACCGCCAACGCCATCAAGTCAAATAAATAACTCGAGTGCAATTATACGCTATTAAAATCTAATTCTCTTTGCAAGGGTACTATACTAATAATGTGTTGTGTTTAAAGTTAAAACTTTTGGTCCAGCACAAAAGATTCTCTCACCTAGAGCTTTCGACCAGTCACTCTTAGTCTTCCTCAGTAGACTGACCCAGTGAAGCCTGTCGCGTGGCTTCTTTGAAGTGTGACGTCAACACTGGGTCAAAGGTATCTGGTAGATGATGTCGGCCCCCGTCGCGGGTCAATGAAGGGTGATGGGCCCTGATGTAAATGGCTTCCTTCACCCCTCCACGACGGGGGCCGACATCGTCTACCAGATACCTTTGACCCAGTGTTGACGTCACACTTGAAAGAAGCCACGTGACAAGCCACGTGACAACTGGGTCAGTCTACTGAGGAAGACCAGAGTGACTGGTCGAAAGCTCTAGGTGAAAGAATTTTTTGTGTTGGACCAAAAGTTTTAACTTTAAACATGTAACTACCAAGTTGACACAGAGGAACTTTCATGATAATAATGTGTCGTATTTGTTTTACTATTTTAGGACAAGATCGGTGCGTTCGTGTTCCTGTTCTTCATGGTGGTGTGTGGCCTGACCACCGCGTTTGTCTGGATCAAGGTCCCGGAGACGAAACACAAGACCTTCGAAGAGATCCAGCGCTTATTCGGCGGCCAAGACGACGAGACCGGCAACGACTGGGGCGTGGCGAACGACGGTTACATCCCTGATCCTCACAAGAAAAGCAGCAAGTACGCGATCACAACGTCGCTGTAGGCTGAGCGGTTTTTGAGCGGTTTCGTGGGTAGTAGTTTCCACCAGACTGCTTTGCAGGATGAATAAATAGTAGAAATCGGCCTAAAGGGGATATCATTAGCCTGCACGGCAAATGGGCCCCGGTCTCTGTCCGGCCAAGTCTTTTCGACAATAATATCCCATTTTTAGGCCGATTTCTACTATTTATTCAGCCTACAAAGGGAGTCTGGTGGAGACTAGAAAAGGAGGGGTTAATCCTTCCGTTATAAAGCATGTTTACCCGAGTTGTAACTAAACCTGTTCTTACGTCTTCAGCAACAAACACAATCTACGGCTACCGCTTATTTGTCTCACAGTTCAATACCAAAAATTGTTGTTTTTTTATTCCCAATGCGACACATCACTGGAAAGGCCTTTATGTGGCTGTTCGATCACTTACCCTCTCATTGCTAAAAAACTTAGTAGCCTCCTCCCTTGATACATATCTTAGCCCTTGTGCCCGGTACACGTTAGAAGAAAGATCTGTTGTTAAATACGTCTGCGTGCATTTAGTTCTGTACAATCATACAAGCGAAATGAGTGTAAAATAGTAAAATACAAAATGTTTCTCTAGTGTAATTATCAATGTGCACATTTTCAAATATTTGTCATTTGGTATGATGTAAATAATGTTAATCAGAAGGAACATTCAGCACGCCATGTACAGGTCAATTATGTTCATCTTAGCTGTTTATATAGTGTCTTTAGTAAGACTTATATTTTCAACTTCATTTATTGTTTCATAGGTCATCCTTTTAACTAGTTGCCAAAACTGCCTATCATACAAGCTGGAAACCTAGGAAATATGAAGGTAGTTTTATCCTATCGAGTGTTACATTGTACATAAAATACTGTGTGTTGTGGTGTTGTAATTATTTCAGTAATTACTTAATCAGTTTTCGATGCGTTAAGACAAAAAAATGTTGATCATGTTCTTAGCTATATGACGTCACCTGATTACATTATATGACAGAATTGTGTTTTAAACCTATACTTTGCAAAGATGTCAATAGATTTTTGTTGATGTAAAATATATGTACAATGTATTCACATTCAAGAAATGTCATTATTTTGAGTGAGGATGAAAGATGAATTGAGTTGCGTGACCGGAAGAAAGATAAAGAAGGACAAGGGTAACCTGGATGGCATAGACAGTACAAGGTACTCTGGACAGCACAGCGATACCCTGGATAGTGCCGGGGTTTCCTAGACAGCACATGGGTACCCTGGACAGCACAGGGGTAACCTGAATAGTATAGGAGTAACCTGTATAGCACAGGGGTAACCTGAACAGAACAAGGGTAACCTGGCTGGCATATGGGTAAATTTAAACAGCCGACAGGGGTACTCTGGACAGCACAGCGGTACCCTGGACAGTACCGGGGTTTCCTTGACAACACCGGGGTAACCTGGACAGCACAGGGGTACTCTGGACAGCACAGGGGTAATCTGAGTAGCACACTGGTGTAAATCTGAACATCACATCGGGTAACCTAGACAGCAAAGATAACCTGGACAGCACAGGGGGTAACCGTAGACAGTATAGGGGTAACCTAGAAAGCACAGATGTAGCTTGGATAGCAAAAAGGTAGTCTGGAAAGCAAAGGGTTATAGAAAAACTGTCATCACATGCTTATGGTGACATCAGACCACACTTATACAAAGAGCCGGGTTAATGTTTAGCCTGTGTGACACAATCTCTTGCTGACAGGGGCATATGGGACCTCTCGGGACCGGTCGGTCGCTAGGAGCGCTATTTAGTCAATGTCCTGCCTGACAACGCAACCATGAGGCAAAGGTCGACAAGACTCACATTACTCACAGGTAAATGAGTCATGGGGTACTTCTGAAAATATTTAATTTGGCAACACAAATCAGAGATAGAAAGTCACTGTGCTCACAAAATGGGCAGAGAAGTAGGATTTTTCATGCTGCTGTCTCTAGCATGCTGCTCCACCTCTGTAGCTGGGCAGGGCTTCTCTGCGAGCTTCTACGAGACGTGGGGATACTACACCCAGCTGGCTCAGCAGAAGCCCATCGACTGGAACACCACCATGGGTCTACAGGATACCGGTCAGGTTCAAAAGCCTTGTTATGACCAGAGTGTTCAACTTCACACCGACATGCAAGCTGGAAAATCTTACGCGATTGGGAGTAAGTCAAATACTTGGGTTTTGCTCGATATCCCTATTTAAAACCACCTGATTATTTGTGTGTGTAAACAGGCAATTGGCATGGGGTGGTTAGCCTCTACCAGGCTTGAGGGCGCGGCTGGAAATAGTAGAAATTGGCCAAATAGAGAGATAACACGCCGAGGGAGTTTAGCCATCCAGTGTACAGTTTGCCGGCCCACAATTTACGGCTTAAATGATCTGAACTCCGAAGCTACTGTCTTTGTACAGAAAACGAGCAGATTAGTTTTATTGCCTTTGAAGATAGCGATATTCCACAGGCTTGTGGGCCGGCAAACTGTAAACTGGATGGCTAAACTATTTCGGCGTGTTATCTCTCTATTTGGCCAATTTCTACTATTTCCAGCCGCGCCATCAAGCCTGGTAGAGGCTAGAGTCTTGTCATATACATGTACATGTAGATGCCATTGCACCTGTTAACATTGTTCTCAAAACAGTCCTAGAATACTACAAATTCCAATCAAAGACACCATTCTTTTTTCCTACACCCCTACAGTAGAAATGTATGTTCTTCTTTAATCACTTAGTGCTGGACAGCAGCGGCAAGTTCAACCCTTCAGGCCTGTTCGAAGGACAGTGGGACGACTTCGGCAGCTTTAAAGGCTGCAGGGACCGTGTCAAAAACGCCCCGGATATACCGGAGGAGCTGAGGCCGATGTACTGTGTTGTGCAATGGGACGGAATACCACCGGTAGGCTATGGGTTCAGCAACGTACCCTGTATTATTAGAGTAATGCCGATGTTTATATGGCCCTTTATCATTCACATTATATTTATGTTTACCGAAGGAAAACATGTTGTTTTTCCTCAGTTTCCTCTTCTCCAAACACAAAAGGTCAATGACCTGAAACAGACGGCTGTTACGTTACCGTGGTACCTGGTGTTGGGTTACATCATGTTGCAATTTTGTAGCAGGAGGGATTTAGACTCCTGTCTGGCCATATATATGAATGTGTTGGAGTAAGAATTAACAGAGCAGACCATATACGAAGGTAAACATTATGCATTTGCTTTGCAAATGTTACCTTTCTAGTTGATGTTGTGTTTCCAGGAGATGGTGAAAACTACTGGAGTTGAAGTCTTTACCCAAGGACTGTGTGTACCAAACACATGTAGCGATTCTGAGGTTTGGCTCCTCGCGGGCACAGGTGCGTACGTTCCCGGCGTAGTCACTCCTCTTAGGACGAAGCATCTCATTCTCTGTCTAGGTATACAACTAATCTATGAAGTTAAACATGAAACTCGTTTTCCTAACAAAACTTCTGGTTGAGTACTAGTACCAATGAGGACTTACCAAATTTTATATTTACTGTCGCGTTTTTAACAATTATTCCATAAATTACTCTTTTAAGATATTTTAATATTTGTAACACTAGCATGGTGTATTTAAGATTGTAAACGATTGTTAAATTTTATACCTATGTGTGTAAACAGCTGTATAGTCCATTTGTAATTGTAATTGTATTTTGTAACCAGACCCAACAATTCAGGCGTATGCATCTCGGCTGCCAGTGGGTCCTGGGGTTGATAATAAGAAAAATAAACCATACTGAGTCTATATTAAAGTGTTCTTCACCTCGTGCGTAAGCCACAGTTCTATACCGAACCTCTACCGGCTTACTTCATGGTACATTATTTTTATATGATCAAGGTCTTCTGGGCATAAAGCCGATGACAAGTTGGACTCCAAGAATTGTTCTCTGTCAGCGAGAAGAACAATATGCCAGCTACGGTGTTGGAGCCATCATTGCAATGTAAGATGACCTTTCTACATTTGCTATCAACAAGATGATACTGGTACACTTCATATATTACATATGGACAGTATATAGAAAACACCAGCCTTCGGGGCTGATTAAGTAATACATAGGGTTCTTATAGGTACTTTGTGTTCAGTATTTTAAAGGAGTTGTCAGGTTCAAACATCGGTGAATATGAAGGCTATGGACAGTTATCCCATACGGAATTGACAGTGAATGGGAATACAGTAAATAGTAGTAATATTTTTAGCGTTACAATGTGTCTCAATAAAGCTCCAGCAACCCAATATGAAGAACATTGTACAGGGCACAAAATGTATTTTACTCACACTGTTGTTTCAGATCCATCATCGCCGTCATACTGCTTGTATTGATGATCTCTACTCTGTACGAGTTCATCATTACCGTCGGTTTTTCAGAGAGAAGAAGGAAATCTGTTACCAGCAGTAAGTATCCATCTATCAGTCTAGTGTCAGTGTATGCTTCGTCCTATATCTTTCTGCAGCAATCATACAGTTGTGTCACGTCGTATTGAATACCTCTTTATGGCAATTGCCAGATCTTATTGAGGCAATGTCATTATGCTTTATATTACTGACAATGACAATGACAATGTCAATGAAGTTTATTGCATTTTCATGCCCCAGTGGGGTTAAATGCACTACTTTAGTGACAAATAAGGATTAGAAAACTATGCTATGCTATCTATGTCTAAACCGTACATGTTTCTTCTCTCTTCTTGAGATATTTGTATACGAATTCACAGAATTCTAATACACCATAGCTAACTAAAGTCATTATATGTAGGAACATGTCATCCTTTCTAAATGTAGATATTTTTGTTCTAACTGTATTTCATAAACAAAGGTGTTGTGTAAATCGCCGTACAGTGGACATTCTACAATAAAGTTAACCTCGTTTACTACAGGTAAGACTGGTCGCTTCTTTCTGTCCTTCTCCGTGTACTCCAACACCAAGAAGGTGTTCGACACATACCAGCCGCCAGGGCAACTTCCGGCGCTTCACGGCATCCGGGTTCTCAGCACGCTGTGGATCATCTATGGACACACGGGCACTTTTGCTTCTGTCACAATAACAAGTAAGATGTAGCCTCTACCAGGCTTTGGGAGGCGGCTGGAAAGAGTAGAAATCGGCCTTGGGGTGCGGCGAAATGTTCTCTCAACGGACAAACTCCCTTGGCATGCTTATCTCTCTATTTGGCCAATTTCTACTCTTTCCAGCCGCCTCCCCAAGCCTGGTAGAGGCTAAGTAAGATGGTCCTGTGGATCACTCAGGGGCATGTTTACAGCCATACGAGTATCAATTGAAAGAGAGTGGGTCTTGAAAATAAGGTCAATGACCTCCAGGAGGCACAGTGCCTCCGGCCACTATGATTTTTTTCGTAAATGGTAGCAGTGTGGTGACACTAACAGTGACCATGTACAGTAACTCGTGGAACTATTGCAGTACATCCGGCGCGTATACGTAAGAGGGGGGTTGCTCCAAATCGCGCGGTTAATTACTAGTACACGCGTTAACATGTCCTGTCTCCTGTCCTTGGTGCTGAAGCCGCTATCGGGTTAGCAGTACGCCGTGGGATCAGGCATAAGGTGTCTCCACTGTTATGGACCGCTTCATTAAAATGTGGGCGAATATACTACCAACAACAATCAATAAAACAATAGAATTTCAAACACGTTTATAGATTTCTTTGTTTGTGTATTTATTTATTTATTTATTTTATCACATGACGGCCAGGTAGCCCCTCAGGGTTCAGCTTGCAAGAGCTGATTTCTGAGGGGGTCGAAATTAACAAAAGTGCACAGCGTACCGTTTAAAACCCAATGAATGTCGAATTTCCAGTTATTGTTCCTATATTTCTGCAGCTAACGAAAGGGAGAAGAGAGACTTCTACTCGGAGTGGTGGGCTTTCATCAGACTGAGCATGGACAAGTCTGTCGACACATTCCTCCTCCTAAGGTAGACCAGCAAATCCTTGTGAGCCTTTCACATGCCGGAAGTATTTACAGGACTTACCAATATCAGCTGGCTTAGTACTGTGCCCCTTCTATGGTGGGGAGCCGGACTGGGACTGTGAAACGTTGTTATAATTATCCTTAAAGCTTCGCGAATGTAGTACGGACAGAAGGTATCCTGTACGTGTCTATAAGGTGCATGAGCGTGTCTTTAAACATGTTCAAATGTCATATGGCGTTGATGTGGAATCCATGTTATTCCACAGTGCACTGCTGGTGTCCTACTTGTTCATGAAGCAACTGAAGAAGAACGACGGCTCGTTTACTGGGAAGGACTTACTTCTTCACTACCTGCACCGTTACTGGAGGTTAGGATCCCCTTTTGTCCATCTGCTTAAATAATGTCACTTGTTGTTGTATGTTCATGGGTGATGGTTTCATGTCATTGTATATATCTGTACAACAGTGGTACTACAACACTCTTCACGTATATCCAATAATGGGTAGGCAAGCAGAATATATATGTAGATACATGTGAAATCAACTACCTCTGTCCATACTATCATGAAAGTTGGTAGTTACATGGTTAAAGTTAAAACTTTTGGTCCAACACAAAAAATTCTCTCACCTAGAGCTTTCGACCAGTCACTCTGGTCTTCCTCAGTAGACTGACCCAGTGAAGCTTGCCACGTGGCTTTTTTTAAGTGTGACGTCAACACTGGGTCAAAGGTATCTGGTAGACGATGTCGGCCCCCTGTCCATGTTGTCAGAACATGAATACTACCATGACTTTGTGCTGTGTTTCCAGGCTGACCCCCGTGTACGCCTTCCTCATCATGATCTTTGCTAGTCTGATGAACTACATGGGGACGGGACCGCCCTGGCAAAGTCACAGCAGGGGGTGTGAGACGCACGTCTGGACAAATCTGTTATACATCAACAACTGGTTCCATGGAGCCCAAGCGGTAAAAGTTATTACCTTGGCTAAGAAGGCTATATAGTTTCGGCAGCGTTTGTATAGGTAACGTCATGCTTGTTTTCTTTGTATATTATAAAGCTATATGCACCTATATTCATCTGTAGTCCGACGACGTAGACTCGCCCTGGCAGGGCATGTTGTTCGTAGTAACGAACCAGCTGGTAGACTGGTACAGTGGCTTTCTCCTGGGAGACGTAGAGTGGGACGGCCTTATACTACAGTTTTGTCCATGTTTAATAGAGAGAGACACTGGTCTCGCAGGGACTGCTATGAGGGGTAGGACATACTGGAATAACTTTATCAAGTGTACCTCACCGGATTTATAATCCGAAGGCATGATGATGATGATGATGATGATGATGATGATGATGATGATGATGATGATGATGATGATGATGATGATGATGATGATGATGATGATGATGATGATGATGATGATGATGATGATGATGATGATGATGATGATGATGATGATGATGATGCACCTATTGCAACCCGTGACAAAATGCATCTTTACTTGTGTGGCAATGGAAGCGGAATTTTTCACTGAACAGCGCACTTGTGTCCAATCCGCAGTGTTTCGGCTGGGCGTGGTACCTTGGTGTGGACATGCAGCTTTACATCTTGGCTCCCGCTCTATTGGTTCTGCTCTACAAGTAAGTGTTAGTATGTCTGACGTCGACCTAAGGACGATTGCTCATTACAAATAGTCAATGTTCGGTGAACATTTTCGTCTAGGCACCAACTGTTTCTTTATTCTGAATTTCAGAAAGCCGAAGCTGGGTCTGGTTTTGATAATTGTCCTTCTCGCAGGAAGCATGGTTGCGTCCGGTCTCTTGCAGCACTTCGTAGTCAAGTGAGCACCTTTAGTCAAAACGATTGGGATTTTAACAATAATTCATGCCATACATTGACAAGAGAAATACAACCTTATGTATCAATTAATGTTTTCGATTTACGTGCTTTCTGTTATGATACTTCTATCTAGAAGCGTTGTACAATTTCCATGTTCTTGTGATTCCATCGCGCAAGTGGCCTTGACTTTTAGAACAGTACATTACTGGAGCAAATTTCTGCATGTCATAAATGATTAGATAAGGGTCACGAAAATTCTATACTAAATGGTATGCCAAAAATGCAATTACGACTTTGGTGGAGCTGAATGAATAAGTAGACACAGCATGCTATAGTATTTTGATCATCCAAAGTATTGCTTTCATCATTATATTGAGCAGAACATTTACAGAATGTTTTGTATTATCGACAGTGTCTATGATTTTCCATTACAATCATATCTTCTTGTGTAAAACTCACATTGCCTTCCATCCGTCGTTTGTGATAGTGGCCAGGGCCAGGACTATTTTTCTACCGCGTACACAGCGACATACGCCCGTATGGGACCATACATGGTGGGACTACTGCTGGGCTACATTTTCTTCAAGACCGACCACAAAGTACCCAACACCCGTCGCACAAAGGTTTTTCTGTTTAGACACACTTTCAAAAAAGCCACGCTAGAGATTGTCTCTAAGAACCTGCTGTACTTTTAGAAAAGTAAAATCAGGGGATAACTTGTTATTCAGAGGTTGGTGAAAGGGTTTAACTGACTGCAATGTTGCGCAAGTGAATTGTAAATTTTCTTGTTGAATGTTGATAGGGTTAACAACGACTATCCCTACCCTTACACACGTACAGGGAATGATTATCGTTAAGACTAGAGGCGCCAACACTATCGGTATGGAAAGTTTATTTGTTGTCATTTATCAGGTACTGATGCTGCTGGGTTGGGTTTTTGCCTCAGCCATTGCCGTGGTTTTTCTTCAATACGTCGATGGCTCCCCGGCCTGGAGGACGTTTGACAGAACCATGTTCTCCTGTGCTGTCGCATGGGTCGTCTTTGCTTGTAGTGTTGGATATGGAGGTACGAGGATGGATGATTGCATCTTATTCCTTCAAATACCTGCAATATATTTTACAGCAAACTACACCCTTATTTTACGACGGGAATGGTTTCTTTGATGCATCGACTGAAAATAATGACTTTCCAAACATACTACACTAGATCCACGCCAATAACCAACTACAAGCTCAACTACATGCGCATTAATGATACGTCCCTCATACCGTACAACAGCATTATATAAGTCAGACGTGTCTGGCAGATTTAGTCACCATTAGTGTCTCCATACTAGATTCTACTTTCAGTTTAGTACCGTACAGTATATCCGGCCTGCATGGGTCAGCCGCGCTAGCCTTGCTATGATTAGCTTATAGCATTGTAGGGGCTCCACAGATTAGGATGTTACCCTGGCTGAACTATCTTTCACGCTCCATGAATCTTCACAAAACTGCGTCTTCCACCAATTTATTTAGCCTTGTAGAAGAAACTGCAACCTGTTGTGTGTGGGTTTTTTCCAGCTAGTTCTTAGAGACATTTACATTCCGCTGCTTCCTTCAGGTATCATCACGGAGTTGCTGTCGTGGAGCGGGTGGGTGCCGCTGAGCCGTCTGACGTACACTGCGTACCTCGTGCACCCCATCATCATGTACGTTCACAACATGTCCCTCAAAACACCGCTCTTCTACTCAGTCACTAACCAGGTGAGATATCATCACAATTCATGACAACAAAAATATAAAAATCTGCAACTGTATTCAGCGTGGAATGACATATATCAAGGGACCAAATCTTCAATGCTTCATAAATGACATAGCAGTTTAAGCTATAATTTCCAACACACGGGATTGAACTCATACCCAAATTTTTGAGAGGGCGAATGAGAGCGGGGTTGTTCCAAAGCACGAGGTTAAAATTACTAGTACACGGGTTAACACATTCTCACCACTGTCCTTGGTGCTGAAGTCACTATCGGGTTAGCAGTACGCCGTGGGATCAGGCCTAGGGTGTATATATACAGTGTTATGGACCGCTTCATTCAAATGTGGGCGAATATACTACCAACAGCAATCAATAAAACAACTAAGAATTTTCAACTGTACAACTGCTTCACAATAACTTCTACCAACACAGATGAACTTTCAAGATATGACTGTCATCGATATTTATGTCGAATTTGTCCTTCATTTTCTGCAGTGGTTCCTCTTCATCGCGTACTCCTTCCTGGCGTTCCTGTGCGGCTTCGTTGCCTCCATCATGGTGGAGTTGCCGTTCTTCGGGCTTGAGAAGCTGATCTTCCCACAGCGCAGAGGCAGGGACAGCTCCAAGGCACCAAACAACGCCGCCAACGAGGCACAAAACAACCAAGCTCTTGAACTGGGTACGTATACCCATGGTTTATTGTATTAGAATCATTAATCATTATGTTTATCGAAGGAAAACATATTGTTTTTGCCACGTTTCCTCTTCTTCGTCTTCTCCAAACCAAAAAGGTCAATGACCTGAACCAGACTGGCTGTCACCATAGTAACTAGTGTTAGGTTACATCATGTTGCAATTTTGCTGTTTATTGCCGTCTATTTCCTCACATGTTGTACTTTTTTCCAGTGGAATCTGGGCCTGTGCATGACTATTCAGTCCATCACAAAAATATAGAAATTAGCGGACCAGCGGCGGTCGTGGACAGTGAGGCACACTCGCAATCACTACCAGAACAAGCCGACGAACATTGGGCCATAACCACACGCACGAATGAAGAGGAATTCGACCATAAATTATAGTTTTTGAAACCGTAATCACAATGGTATGTTTCCATTATGACCATGATGAGTCACTTTTGTCCCGATCTTTTTCTCTTTTAGTAGATTATAATAAATATCCAAAAACATAATCGAAGCTCGTGGCTCTTTGGTCTCCACTTGTTTCATCATAATCATTGAATAAAAGTCTTCAAAAACTGAGTGGCGTTTTTTCTTTGTTGGGATTGCAACAACACAGTACAATTTTGGGTTAGCTAACCCTAATTTAGGGTTACGCTATCATATAGTAGTATATTTAGGGTAATACATGTAGCTAGACATAATAAAGTGTCATAGCTTGCACCAAAGGTTAAAGGTCAGCAAACCTCACACGGAATCAAAATGGCGGCGTCCAGGGGTTGTTTTGGCGTTTGTCGACAGCATCGGACAATCTTGTGCCTTTACCTCGTCTCCACCGTGGCCTTTCTGGGACTCTGCAGCGTCGCGAGAGCCAGACCTCTGGAGCAGAAGAACAAGAGCACGTCCAAGCACGGCGAGGACGACAAGCTGAGCCCGCCGGACCACCTGGACGCGGTGCGGATGGAGCGGGACGGACACCTGAACAGGGACTTCCACCAGGAAGTTTTTCTCGGGGAAGAGAAGGATGACATCGAACAGATCCCGCACCACGTCATCGACGACAGGCTCAAGGATATCTTCAAAAGGTAATAAATTAGACTGTTGTAACTGCTAGCTAGAGGATAATACATGTACTAGTAGATACACACACTTGTTTACAGTAGTAACGTCTACATAATTTGTTGATAATATATAAAGTTGTTTGGTGAGTTACTAATTGCCCCAGTAACCACACCTGTAGGTAGAAAGTGCTACAAAACCAGAACTGGGAGTTGGTCACAGCTATATTTGCCCGTGAAAAATATGCAGATATTCAATTTTGTACAATTTCTCTTATACGAAATCTATATTAGATGTACTGTAAGTTGTGTAACCAAGGAGGTCTCCTTGCTTGTGCAATTAAATTATTGTCGCATACTGATTATTAATTTGCCCCCATGTTTGTACTATGTGTATCAGGGCTCCCTTGGAAATTAGTCTAGCTTCACTGAAGCCAGTAAAGGAATCACCTAAATTTTATATCCAGGAACAATAAGTAATTTCTTTAAAAATGAGTGAATTATCTAGCAGTACAATAATATTGGAAATACTGTGATTAACTTACTAGTAGTGTAAGGATTTAAGCCATCCAAACTTTTAAGTGATTCATGTCAAATGTTACACTTTATCAAAGACTTCTGCTATCCCTTATTATTTGAATAATTATGATGTAGATTTGTTAGGTTTATTCGACATTAGGTCTTGTTCAACACATTTTATTGTTTGCTACTCTCTTTAATGTAGTTTGCATACATTGTACCATGTGCAATTGTCGTGCAATAAAGTTCTTCTATTACCTACCCTAATTAATCTGCATGTACAGATGGTATTTTGAGCCCTGTTCTCTTTTCACCTGTAGAAACAATTGCACTCTACAGTCTCTCTAAAAAAAACAAAGTTGTATGTAACTGATGCACTTTATGCCCATCTGTCTGTATAAAAAAGGTATGTATTACATTATAGTATTGTATAATACTGGATAGACATGGATTGGATAGTTTGTGATGTAAATGGTTGTATTTATTGTTTGTTGGCCAGATAGACATGGATTGCATAGTTTGTTAAACAAATTGTTGTTGTTTGTTATTTACAGGATAGATGTGGATACGGACGGCCTCCTCACACAACAGGAGCTCCAGGACTGGATCCTGAGGAAAACACAGGAACATTTCCAGGAAGCTGAACAGGAGAACAACAAACACTTCCAGGAAGTGGACCAGAACCATGATGGTAGGATGGTCAATACTGATTTGCATGGCAGGTACATGGCATGACCTGATGCCATGCTGTGTGCCTGCAAAGTTTTAACTGTGTTTTGCCGAAGGGTGATTATACTGGCTATTCAGATAAAGATACAGCTATCATAAGCTTTATCATATGCACACACTGCAGCATGGTACAAAGTATATAGTATAGTACCAAGAGGTAGAGAGCTAGTGGAAGAAAACTAGTGATAGACAAGTAAACACATAAACACAAAATTGTAAGACTTGATGTGATTGAACCATTATATGCACAAATATGCAATTCTAACTCAGTAGCATTCAACTTGACATTCCAAAAAAATACATAAATATTGCAATTGTTGCAGATGTGTGTGTGTGTGCCTATGTGTGTGCATGTATGTGTGTGTGTGTGTCTGTGTGTGTATGTGCGTGCGTGTGTGTGTGTGCATGCGTGCATGTGTGTGTGTGCGTGCATGTGTGTGTGTGTGTTTGTGTGTGTGTGTGTGTGTGCGTGTGTCTGTGAGTATGCATGGTTGCGTGATTGTTCATGTTCTGTACAGGTACTGGGATGAGTACCGTGTGTGTGTGTGTGTGTGAGTGTGTTTGTGTGTGTGTATGTGTGCATGGCTGTGTGATTGCTCATATTCTATCTGTCCCAGGTACACTACACTGGGACGAGTACCGGCTGCAGTTCCTGGAGAGTCGCGGGTACGACAGGGACAAGGTCATGGAGGTCATCGAACAAGACACTGAGATTGAGATGGACGTGGATGGTAGGAGTCAGAAAAATATTTATACCACCTTGGAAATCATCTCACGCTTAGGCTTTTTGATTTGGGTGTCAATGATGTTGTGTTTTCCAATGTACACGACATGTTAAAAAAATGTTCCCCTTACAAATAAAGTATTAATTATCCTTCCAAACGTTTGGTAGATGTACCTGTATGTGGTGTCTATCAAGAGTAGCACAGTTTTAAGCCATTGTGTGAAAAATCTTACAGAGGACAAAGACCTAGTTTGAGAGGCCTCAGATTTACTTATCACAAATGACACTAGTTACAGCATACTGTCCACCCATCACAAATAAATTCTTCTTTTTCAATGTGTCATGCAACAACTGAAGACTCTTTATTTGTACATGGTTTCAGATGAAGAGGATCTGGAGAGGGACCATGACAGGTTTCTCCAGGCAGATGAGGACCCGCGGGATGAGCTGCTGAATGAGAAAGAGTTCCTGGCCTTCCGCCACCCTGAACACAGCAGCAGTATGCTCAGTCTCATGGTGCAGGAGATACTGCATGACTTAGGTAATAAGGATGGACTTAACTGCTCTCATGATGGCACTTTTGTGAATGGCCATGGAAAATTGATAGGCACAATCAGCAGGCGTTATAAGGACATTGGGTGTTACATGTAGTTGCTTAAGTGTTGAAACCTTATGAATAACAATTTTTACTTCCAAAATTTTGTAGTTACATTTATTTTCTTTGCAAAGCAAATATTTTGGAAATAGCATTGAAACTACAGCAATGTAAATGTACTTAAAGTTTTTTTTAAGCTAAACCTTCAATGCTAATTCCAAACTTCTTGCTATACTAGTCACACTTTGCTTTCATATAATATCTTAAACCTGATTGAATACATGTGTGTAAGTAATAAAGTAATAAAAAGGTAACAAAATGGATAAAATCCATTTGGGAAACCAAGGAGTTATTAGAAAAGTCATATTACAAAATGCAAACATGTATTTGTGATGGTTCTGTGTTGTAGACATCTATCTGTGATGGTTCCGTGTTGTAGACATCTATTTGTGATGGTTTTGCCTTGTAGATCAGAACGGTGACCAGATCCTGACCCTGCTGGAGTTTGTGTCCATGCCGTACGGAGCTAAGGTACAGGAGGTGGAGGACAGTAAGGACACCTGGGTCATCGAGCGCAGGCAGGAGTTCAAGGAGGTCATGGACACAGACGGGGACGGCAAGGTCACACTCACCGAACTAGAGGTCAGAAATTACACATCTCCAATTTCTCTGGACCCTCATTTGACAGTACAGAAACATATTCTTGCTAAAGTTAGTAGTGTTACGTAATACAGTAGTACTACTAGTAGTTGCTTTCTACATGTATGTGGACTGTGGGGGCACAGTGCTATATCATGAAACTATCTTTGCCAGTTAGAATTATCAGCTTTCAAATCTTCAATAGACTTTTGGGAATTTGTGTTGGTAACAAACCCAGGTACATGCATGTACATATGTTTTATTTTGCATGCATGTTGCATGTATTATTTTTCTGTTGATATTTGATGAAGTTATGTGGCTATCATATGTTTAACTGCTTTGTAAACTTAGATCTAGTATGTATAGATTCATAGGTCATAGATTTATTGATCATAGATTTATATGCTTAGTTTTGTCTCCCTCTTGTTTACTAACTACCAACACTACAATGATATTTTGACTTCAGACTGTATTGCAATAGTGTATCTGCTGCATTTATACCATATAGGCAAGAATATGCAATAAAGATCACTCATTCATTCATTTACAGTGGCCCGTAAGTACAGGCATGCATGTCTGTGCGAATACCTTCCACGTCTGCGCGAATACCTTCCATGTCTGCACAGAAAAAACTTCCACAGTGTAGTGCAGACGAGGAAGGTATTCACGCAGACGAGGAAGGTATTCGTGCAGACGTGGAAGGTATTTGCGCAGACGTGGAAGGTATTCGCGCAGACACGCATGCCTGTACTTACGGGCCCCCGTATTCATTGATTCGCTATAACACACACTAACACTGTTTTCCTCAGGCCTACATGGATCCGCGCAGCGACCAACAGGCGCTGAACGAGGCACGACAGATGATCCGAGTCGCGGACGCCAACAACGACGGGAAACTTTCGCTGGCCGAAATCCTGGACAACTGTCAGTTCTTCATCGGAAGCAAGATGGCAAACTATGCAAAAGTCGTGCACGAAGAGTTCTGAGAGGGTCCCCTTCACTATTACATCACTGCTAGGGGATATCTGAGGACATGTACAAAATGTTTATGTCAGCTGTTGAGCTTGTTATTCCCATCAGATAGCACGTCGGCAGAACGCACTGCACCTGCGCGAAACCCGTAATGTATTGTACATAGCACTTCGGCAGAACGTCTCATATAAGGTCGTACCTGCGCATATAAGGTTAACATCCCGTCTGTAGTTTCCAAATGTTATCTACGAAAAGATATCCTTTGCAACAGGCAAAATTCTGATGCAACGTTGACCAAAAATCCACCGAAAATCGTGAAAATACAGGGTTCTGCGCAGGCGCAGTACGTTCTGCCGACGTGCTTCTTCAGATTAGGGTGACAGACAGGGAAGCACTTTGGCTGCATTATAAAATCAAAAGTAGCAAACAGGGCTGTATATATTGAGATATACTACATGTATGATACATGCAAATATTGGTGAATAGAAATTTGCAATAAAAAGTAAGTGTCCCTGTTGATACACATATGGTCACAATCTGCCAATTGTGATCTGATAATCTGAAAGACTGTCAATCATAAAAAAAAGGAGTTATGCTAAAATGTAGAAGAATAATGGTCAGTTTAAGCATAGCATGAGGTTTGAAACAAGCAAACAATTTCTTCTACACATCCCACCAAAGAGCAAACAACATTTCACAAACTGGTGCGGTTTGATTGTGGCAACTCTGTACCATTCTTTTTTGGTCTGCCCCCCCCCCACACACACACACACAAAAAATTATCTGTATCTGTGTAAGACCATTTTTGAATTCAGTATTATGAGTTTTGGTTGACTTCTTGTCAGACAAAAATACTGTAAATTTGTCTGTAAAGAGCTTGCTGTATCTTTCCTGTTTGCAGCATTGTTAACACAAGGAAGGAAAAACAGAACATACGTTTGAGAGTGGTGCATTTGCAGTAAAAGATCACCATAATAAACGCTACAAAAATGTCAAAATTTCAACATGTACAGCCATAGAAGAAAAACCAGAACTTATCACAAAAGTGGTGGCTGTAGGATGACATGATTATTGATTATATTTTTCTAAAGATTTGTGTATTACTCTAGGAAATCATTTTACACATTTCATGAAAGCCTTACCCTTTGCCAGCAAACTTAGTTTACGTCATATATTATAGTGTTCTTAACTATCATATCTAAGTTTTTTAAAACTTTTTTGAAAGGTTCTTCAGACATAATGTCCTTGGAAGATATTAGAGGACAACAGAGGAAGGATCGTACATATTGGGTGGGTTGGTGGGTGGTTGGGGGACTCGATAAACTGGCAGTGCAATTTTAGGCTTCAAATGTTCTGATTATGCTCTCATCATTTTCCAGCCAATTGCTGCAGATCAGTTTTCATGTTGGTGACACTGGTACCCCAGTTGTAGTTGCTTGTACAGAATCTGGCAGCTTTATTCTGTACCCTTTCTAGATTATCCTTGTCTTTCTTAATATACAGATCTCATATTGTTGTGGCATATGCAGGGTCGGTTGGCTGCAAGTAAGGTGCATTACTGATGGCCAGGTCTGCACAGCATTTTCAGGAGAAAGCTCACATATAGTTTCTTGATGTAATTACTGAATCTATATTCTTTACATGCAAATTGTGCAATTGTGTATTAATGGGAATATGCTTTTTTGAGTGACGTATCTTGAGAAGTACTTAAGAGGCAAGACTGTCACAGTTTACCTTTCAGTAGATGAAATCAAAGTTTGCCCTGGAGGTTGGTGTTTCACTTCCCACCATTTGTTACATCACATTGCTTTGGCATGTTAAGCTGTTGCTTAGATTTGCCTTTTTGCAAAAGATCAAGGTTTGTCAATACTCCACAAGTCTAATAACAAAGTAGTGTGATAGATTAAGTATGGTCAATGTGCCTACTTCTGTCATGAAATGTCAGAATGCAGTTGTTATTAAACTCTGTTTGTTTCTATGTTACATAGATGCATGCCGCAGACATCTTTTAGATGCTTGGATAGTCATCAAGCAATTAGTGTCTCAGTTGTTTTAACCTATAGCACATATCATGGTGGTATTAGCAAGGTGTGTTTAGTTCGTACCAATACATGTATATGCTCCTAAGAGAAGCAGTTGTGTATGGGTCTGTGGGAAGGTAAGTAAAAATGTACAAGTTTTTATTATATGTTCAAAATGTATAGCAAGAGGCACTGCAATTTGCTTAGATTTCTTTATTGCATTATTATGCACATCATAGTTCCACAGCATACTTTGTATCATAATTATAGACTGAATTATATAAATATCTATATAGAGAGTTTGTATGAAAGAACTTATATTGGGGATAGGGACTTGCAAGCTTTGCTATCAAAAGTGGGATTTTACGATATACTAAATAAAAGAAGGCAATGTGAAGTCTAATGGTTTAACCAGTGGGCACATTATTTCCTGTTAAATGTTAGCAGAATGGCTACAATGAACTGTACAATTGATTTTATTGATTTTATTAGTTTGCACATAAACAAAACAGACAATAACAAGGAGAAGTCGTAGACATCATCCCTCCATGAAATAGCTTGTTATTTTGTAATCTTTTGGTGTATTTCAATAGAGATATTATGAGTCAAACTGTTATAGAGTTTGCGAATATACTACTGGGGATGGTACCCAGGCTACATTTGCCTGTACATGTAGGTCAATGACCAGACAAATGACCTGCAGACCAGACAAACAAGATTTATTTTCCTGCAGACTCTATAGGGGTAAAAATAGATAGGGCTCCCTGGGTCTGACCTGCCAGCTGGAGGTATAAACAAAAACACTCTGTCCCAACTTTTGGGTCAAACAGACCATCCTATTATGAAGTAGGGGTGAAAAAGTGAAAATCCTTTTAAATCAAGCAATAAAAATATGCGACAACCTGCTAATGCACTCCAAAACACAAAGAGACTCAACAACTACCCACATACCAAAAATCATACCAAACCATCCCCTAGATTTTCCAAACATTCAACACAAAAAGTCCAACATTAAACATTTTGTAAATATCAAACGCAAACAGCTAGGGGACCCAAATTTAAACCACTAAACCATGGTAATAACAACTACATGCTACCTTAATATCGCACAAACAGTCCATAACGCGAAAACAACAGAATAAAAAAATTAAACTGCAGTACCAAGGTCAATCACCAGGGGCTCAAAGTCAACCTACACAATCTCCAAGGCCCCATCCATCAATCTGCCAAATATCGTACAGTTCCTTCTCACCGATCTTCAGATATCAGACCAAACATGAAACGGAGTAAAAACAGTACCCCCATTTTCATGGAGGGTAATAATACAAAACAAGGATAAAATAGGTGCAGGAGGAGGGGAGAAGCATGGAATGCTTATACAAGGCCCTCCTCCTCTAAACTATACAGAATCAAATATAATCAATAAATGGAAATAACACAATAGAAGATAGGAAATAATACAATAAGGATAATCAAATAATGTACGGTATAAATTAATGACAATGAAATAAGGTAATGTAAGTTATAAATACAGTGCAATAATGATAATGATAATAATTGGTATGAGTTAAAATAAGAGAAAAACACTAAATGAAACTACTACAGGGGGCTAGATTCGTTTATCAGATGGTTTTTCAAAGCTTGTTTGAGTGAGAGAAGAGACAAGGTAGGATTCTTTAGGGTTGGAGTTAGTTGATTCCATAAGGTGACACCTTTGTACGAGGGGTGTTCAAAAAGTTCTCGGCCTCACCTAGAAAACGTCATGGCAGTAAAATTTTTCTTAAACTATTTTATAATATAGCCCTCTCTAACTGCAATGCACTTGGTCCAGTGATGTTCCAGCTTTATTTTACCCTTGTGGAAGAAGGTTGCATCTGGACCCCTCAGATTGGCCTATACCGCATAGATGACGTCATCATTACCATCAAAACGTTGACCACGTAAGTGGAACTTGAGTTTAGGAAACAGGTAGAAGTCCTAGGGTGCTAGGTCAGGTGAATTGGAAGGGTGGGGTTAGACTGCAAACCCAAATTCGTTTGCTGCTGTCGCTGACCCCTGTGTTGTGTGGACAGGTGCATTTTCATCACGCCAGCTCGGAGCTTTCCTCTCCTTTTCTCGTTGATCGTTGCCCTCAAATGTCGTAATTCTGTTTTATAGTACTCCCCATTGATGCTTTAACCCCTTCGCAGGTAGTCAATCATGATTGCTTCCTTACTGTCCCAGAAAACAGAGGCAAAAACCCTGTCAGCGGACGAAACTCGCTAAAACTTCTTTGGGGGGCGGGAAAAATTCTTCATCCATTGTTTGCTCTGTTGTTTTGATTCGGGGTGAAAGTGGTGAACCCAGCTCATCTTGAGTGACAAATGTTTTGAGGAAACTGCGTGAATTGGACTGAATTCGTTCCTTGAAATGTCAAGCCTGTTTAAGTTCTGATGTTCAAAAAACATTCGAGGCACCCACCATGCAGACAGTTTGTTCATCCCCAGGATGTTCGACAAAATATTGTGAACTGAGTCATAACACAGGCCAAAGAACCTGCTACATGTTGGACAGTCTCACATCTGTCATTCACTACCATGTGATGGATGGCCTCAACTGAATTGTCCGTGGTGCTGATTTGTGGCATCCTGACCTATGTTCATCTTTTGTGCTCTCCTTGCCGCGATTGTAGCTAGTAACCCCGTTCTTTATATTTAGATAAGAAGGGGAGTCATCACCAAGTGTCTTGACCATGTCTTCATGGATGTCCTTAGGAGACTTTCTTTTTTATCGATACACTTGATCACAGCACACGCTTCTTTTGCGGCCATTTTGTGATTTGCCCTCACCCACCCCATTTTCACGGGGCGTCACGTGCTCATTAATGAATACAAAAATTTGAATTTTTGTGTGCAGTGATGTAAGACGTCATAGTATACAGCTATACCAAAGAATAGGAGTTTGACCTTTATTTTCTAGGTGAGGCCGAGAACTTTTTGAACACCCCTCGTATCTAACTGACATTTGGGCAAGAGAAGTGATTTTCATACCCCTCTATATACTATACCCCTCTAAGACTTTGATGTTTGTGGGGAATCAAAGTATTAACACGACATGAGGCACAAAACATCTGTTGTAGTCATGAAATTCAAAACAAAAGCATGTCCTCTAAGTTCTACCAAATCTTCAAGTTTTTAGAACATGTATAAAACCAACACAATGAAGGAAAGTCCAGGAAGAAAGAATTAAGAGAAATCTGGCTATGTACATTTGTATAATTTAAATGATAACTGAAGGAAATTTTCTCTCAAACATATATAGAAGAATGTCGATATGGCATACAGTTATCGCAGTGATTTTTGGTACAGTACAATGAAAAGTTTAAAGTTTCTGGTCGAAGGTTTCCTGGTTGGCAGGGACGGTTTTTTTTTAAACTTTATTGTTGTTCATAAAGCATAAAGTACAAGTACACAAGTGCACACCAGTAACATAATATACAATGATTACATTTTTCATACGTTTCTTAATAAACATTCAGCTTTAAACAGTGGGGTTATATCCATTCGACTACATTTGTACTTCCATATTTAAATTTAGAGATGGTATTTTTTCCAACCAATATCAGTTATCGCAGTGATTTTTGCTATAAAACGATGAAGGTTTAAAGTTTCTGGTCGAAGGTTTCCTGGTTGGCAGGGACGTTTTTTTTTAACTTTATTGTTGTTCATAAAGCATAAAGTACAAGTACACAAGTGCACACCAGTAACATAATATACAATGATTACATTTTTCATTCGTTTCTTAATAAACATTCAGCTTTAAACAGTGAGGTTATATCCATTCGACTACATTTGTACTTCCATATTTAAATTTAGAGATGGTATTTTTCCAACCAATATCAGTTATCGCAGTGATTTTAGGTACAAAACGATGAAGGTTTAACGTTTCTGGTCGAAGGTTTCCTGGTTGGCAGGGACGGTTTTTTTAAAACTTTATTGTTGTTCATAAAGCATAAAGTACAAGTACACAAGTGCATACCAGTAACATAATATACAATGATTACAATTTTTCATTCGTTTCTTAAACATTCAGCTTTAAACAGTGAGGTTATATCCATTCGACTACATTTGTACTTCCAAATTTAAATTTAGAGATGTTTTTTTTTCCAACCAATATCAGTTATCGCAGTGATTTTTGGTACAAAACAATGAAGGTTTAAAGTTTCTGGTCGAAAGTTTCCTGGTTGGCAGGGACGGTTACAGCCCAATCTCCATTGGCATGTCCCGGTATGCCGTCATGGTTCTTCATTATCACACCTTGTCCGTTGGCTGTTGCATCGACTGATTTGTCAATTTCTCCTGTGATAAAAAACCATAACAATACGTAAACAAATAGGAGAACCGCAAGTTTGCGAGAGCAACAGTGGATATCATTTGATATTCATACAGTAAACAGTAGACGTTAGGGCTCGAAATTAAAGGTGGTATAATGGCCACTGACCACTAAGATTTAGGCTGGGACAACTAGAAACATTTTGGGGACAATAGAAAAATAACATCAGAATGTCAGCCCTTTTGTTTATCATGCCCGCGTCCCTGCTTTTGGATCCGGAAAATACCACCCCGAATTTCCTGTCTACTCTGCGATTATAGTGCGCCTGGGAGTGAACATAAGCAAAATAAAGTTGACTTCAGGTCATACAATACTAAAACACTGGACGTACCCATTTCAAGAGCTTGGTTGTCATGTGCCTCGTTGGTGGCGTTGTTTGGTGCCTTGGAGCTGTCCCTGCCTCTGCGCTGTGGGAAGATCAGCTTCTCAAGCCCGAAGAACGGCAACTCCACCATGATGGTGGCAACGAAGCCGCACAGGAACGCCAAGAAGGAGTAGGCGAGGAAGAGGAACCACTGCAGAACATGATCGACAAATTCGACATAAAATATCGATGACAGTCATATCTTGAAAGTTCATCTGTGTTGGTTGAAGTCATTATGAAGCAGTTTAAACTGTAATTTCCAACAAAAGGGTTTGGACTTACCCAAATTTTCGACTGTACAACTCCAAGGACTGGAGTTTTACAGTCGAGAATTCTATTGTTTTATTGATTGCTGTTGGTAGTGTATTCGCTCACATTTGAATGAAGCGTTCCATAACACTGGATACACCCTAAGTTAGCCTGATCCTACGGCATACTGCTAACCCGAGAGTGACTTCAGCACCAAGGACAGGGGTGAGAACGTGTTAACCTTAGTAATTAACCGCAAGCGTTTCAGTCATATATATGGAATAGATGTTTTACTTTTTAAAACAAAACATCTATAGCTATTCCATATATTATAATAATACAAAGCTTAAGCCTGGATCCAGTTGCAATGTTAAAATGTATTATAATAGCTTGTAAGGAATTTTCATCTCACCCAGTTATCGGCCGTGTAGAAGAGCGGTGTTTTGAGGGACATGGTGTGGACATGCATGACGATGGGGTGCACGAGGTACGCAGTGTACGTCAGACGGCTCAACGGCACCCACCCGCTCCACGACAGCAACTCCGTGATGATACCTGAAGAAAGCAGCGGGATGTTACTATCTCTAAGAACTCATCAGAAAATATTTTGCCCACTACTAATAAGATTGGTCACAAAATAAGGGCACAGTTTTCTTTCATATCTCGTTTGTACAAATCCTCAAATAACATCATCCAATCTGTTGTCAAATCCGATGTAATCTTCCGCAACAGATTCTTCTGCAATATCTGGGTCCGTCTGTACTCATAGTCATATTTTTAACTGATTATCATGAAAGTTAATCTGTGTTGGTAGTAATCATAGTAAAACATTGAACTTCATTCCAACACAAGGGTTACAGAGCGATCAAATTGTCGACAACAACTGTCGCCTTCATCAGGATAATTAATGACCAATCACTTCACAACGTGATCTCGCGAGAGTTACGGTTTACAAACACGTGACCTTATTCGCACGAGACTTTACTGATACGTGACGTACGTAATTGATATATTGATATTCTTGTTATGTGTATCTCTCGAGAAAGAAAGTATAAAAACAAATTCATTCTCGTACCTCCGTACCCTACACAACAAGCGAACACCACCCAGGCTACAGTACAGGAGAACACTGTTCTGTCCCAGGCCCTCCAAGCGGGTTGGCCATACACCGAGTACGGACTTCCCATCCAGGCGGGGGCAGCTACAAACAGCAAGGCAAAGCCTGCCGCAGCGAGCCAACCAAACAGCATCAGCGCCTGAATGTAAGGAGGCAGCACTGATTATAGTCATTTAGATAGATTGATTCTTTATTGACACAACAAAAAAGTACAGTTACTTTTGTATGGTCTTCTAAAACTAAAGATCTCACAAAGTTAAATACATGTATGGATGACTTCATCCTACGTACAGAATATATGTATGTGGCAAATTACGTACAAAATATATATCAGTGATAACAATAACGTTTTAACTCTTGCCTAACATGTAGTCTCTAAGATTGAAACATTCGTTAATATATTTATATATATACCATAGTGTACAACTATAATGTTGAACAATTTTTGAATCCTCCACTCTTACTATACATAAGACCTAAAGTTCGCTTCTACACAAAAACTGTGCAATCTCCGTCATGACATTTGTTCCGCACATAATAAAACGTATTAGTTAGACCAGTTATACGAAGACTTTTACACTCTTGCACTCTTTTTACACGTGCAGTAGTTTCTTTAGCTTGCTGAGAAATACGTGTGAAGTACCTTGGTGAGGCCTGTTTTGGGTACTTTGCGGTTGATCTTGAAGAGTATGAAGCCCATCAGTAGTCCCACCATGTATGGTCCCATGCGGGTGAATGTGAACTTGTACACCGTAGCGTAATACGACCCAGATGGAACACTAGGACAGAAGAAGATTTCGGTAAATAAATTTGCCACAAGGAAGGAAGATTGCATATACATCCTTTTTAGACGTTTTATTAGGCTGAGTTCTTGTGATGTGTTAAATTGTATGCTACCACGACAAAAGAGCTTTCAAAAGTCACCATTGTAAATATTATGTAAACAAAATCTTCAAAAGTACTTACTTGACCAGGAAGTGGTAGAGAATGCCGGTGAGGGCCATGCTAAGGACTGTGAGGAAAGTCACCAAACCTACTCCCAACTTCGGTTTCCTAAAAGGTCAGGGCAAAAAAAAAGTATCAACAAAGGAATTCGAAATTAGCCTGCAACACTTTAAAAACATGCACAACTTTAGTGACATTTATAAGGCTTGTCGCAAGTGTTAAATGCTCCTGTGCGTCATTGTCCTTCCATATATGTGTGTGTATAGATTTTTGCTTGTAGTACGTACTATATATATATAATCATGTGTAATGACAGCTTACTTGTACAGCAGAACCAATAGACCGGGAGCTACGATGTAAAGCTGCATGTCCACACCAAGGTACCACGCCCAGCCGAAACACTGCAGATTTCAAAAATAATTCGTTATTTGATGTTGTTTCCAGTAGCATTGTTTCAACACGTTGATTGAAGCTTCAAGAGCAGCGGTAGTGATAATTATCTTTACCGAAGGAAAACATATTGTTTTTGCTCAGTTTCCTCCTCTTCTTCTTCTCCAAACAGTAACCTATGACCTGACCAATGACATGATTTGTTGACGTTTGTCACCATGGTGTCTGGTGTTGGGTTAAATAATGTTGCAATTTCATGGTCTGCTCTGCTCCTGTCACCATATACTAGTAGTACATGTATTGTATGTGAATGTGTTTGAGTAAGAATTAACAGAGCAGACCATGTCCGAAGGTAAACATTATGCATTTGCTTTGCAAATGTTACTTCTCTAGTGTAGTTTCATATTCGATACCTCAGCTTCACCGTTGAACCAGTTGTTGATGTATAACAGGTTGGTCCACACCCAGCTCTGACAGGCTGCGACGTTTCCCATGGCGAGGTTGCCAGGGCTCGCCCACATGGGTCCCGTCCCCATGTAGACCATCAGACAAGCAAAGATCATGATGAGGAAGCCGTACACGGGGGTCAACCTGGAAAACAAGTACAGAATCCCAGTATATTATGAATCTTTCAACGAAAAGCTTGGATGAATTTTGAAATGAAATTATTACAGATGCGGTCTGGTCTAAACATGCTTATACTCTATTAGATATAATTAAAGCCGATGTAGTAATACAACTATAACCTAAGCTTAACGTGACAGCAACAAACGTTATCATGAAAGTTCATCTGTGTTGGTAGTAATTATGGTAAAATGTTGAACTTTATTCCAACACACAGGTTAAACAGAGATCAAATTTTCAGCGACCACTGTCGCCTTCATCAGGATAATTAATGACCAATCATTTGAAAACGTAATCTCGCGAGAGTTACGGTTACAGACACGTGACGAGACTTCACTGATACGTGACGTCTCGTAAGTCAGTAAAGTCTCGTGTGAATAAGGTCACGTAACTCTCGCGAGATTACGTTTTGAAGCGATTGGTCATTAATTATCCTGGTGAAGGTGACAGTGGTCGCTGAATATTTGATATCTGTTTAACGTGTTTGTTTACTATAAAACGTTCATCAGTTCGGAAAAGGAAAAAACAGCTGTACGGAAATCCTAACCTCCAGTAGCGGTGCAAGTAGTGAAGAAGTAAGTCCTTCCCAGTAAACGAGCCCTCGTTCTTCTTCAGTTGCTTCATGAACAAGTAGGACACCAGCAGTGCACTGTGGAGAAAACGGTTTTCAGATCAACGAAATGTATGTGTAAAACATAGAGAAGGGCTAGAATACCCAAAGATTGTTTCGATTAAGCCACACCAATTTAATTTGTTGTTTCTCGGATTTTTTCAGAAAAAAATGAAGTGACAGGGCGAAATAGAAAGTGAAAAAAAAACAGGCCAAGGCACCCCATGATAGCCGGAAATGGTACAATATAAGCCATGTTCCATACATGGCTGGTTTATAATTTAAAAAAAATAGATTGTGAACTTTTAATGAAACAAAATTGTATTGTTACATTGAAAAACTTTAAGAACTAGGAAGAAAAGGACTTTCCTCAACCGTTGAGGCCAAAATATGTCTTTCATTGAGCATTTTGCAGTTAATTTAGAGAAAAAAATGGACAGGGCGATCCGAGAAGCAACAAATTTAATTCGCGTCGCCTTAACAATTAGATGCACGTTTTGACAAACCAAAAAGTTAGTATTACATATTATATACGCGGTACATTTTGGAAGATACATATCAATACCTTTTTTGTACAAACGGTTAAACATCATTAAGGGTAATCATCCCACTATCTGCCTAATCTGGTGTAAACGACCTCATTGCTGGTACAAGGATTGAACGTTCGAACAACTTTTGATTGGTTGTGTAGATGTTAAGTTTTCTACCTTAGCAGCAGGAATGTGTCCACGGCCATATCCATACTTCCTCTTATGAAATACCACCTCTCTGAGGACCATTCATACCTCTGTCTTATGTTAGCTGTAGAAAGGTAGAAACGGTTACTCAAAACCATGTAGTGCACTTAGTTGACAAAAAGACTACTTAGGTTATAACTACGCTAAGCAGTGTATGGCTTATTGAACAAAATGTCTGGATCTTGTTATTTTTCTCTTGTCTAGGATGATGAATGATGATGAAATGGTTTATTGAGAATAAAAACACTGGCAGCCTTACATGCTGTGGTTCTTTAACAATTTCATCTTAGACTCATGGACAACATACAAAATTCTTATGACAAAGATCATTCAATATAAAATTCCAGACATATTAAAATCAATTGGTGACTACATTTTAAAACGTTTTACTCATGAATAAAATATTCTGTATACATGGAGGCCGCACAAATATTTACATGTCATCATTCAACAATCGTACGCAGAAGGGAAGAGTGCTGTTCTGATACCGGGCAGTTCTGCACTCGTACTACCCTGGAAACCAAACTCGTTTTCCGGGCCGCAAGAGCCCTTCGCCCGCTAGTGTAAATTACCAGTACGGGAGAGTCTAGCCCGAGTGGAGTTTGGCTTGCCGGCCAGCCAAACTCCCCCCCCCCGGCTCAACTCCCCCGTAGCGGTAATTTAGGCAGGCGGGCAAAAGGCTCTCGGCTGCCGAAGGAAAACGGCTAACGGCCCGATACTAGTTCGGCATCCAGGGTACATTTGGGTACATACCGGGTAAAAGAGTTACTATTTCTGAGAGTTTTGAGGTGAGTATCACCCCGTCGAGGTGGCAACCATTCACGGTACTTTTAAGAGTTAGCAAGTGAACGTGCGAATCTTAGGCACAGTTGACGGATGGCACGGTAAACCTTTTTGAAAGGGGCAGCTTACTTGTTATTGCGTTATCGGTAAAGAAGTCCGTGTGTCCATAGATGATCCACAGCGTGCTGATAACGCGGATGCCGTGAAGCGCCGGAAGTTGCCCTGGCGGCTGGTATGTGTCGAACACCTTCTTGGTGTTGGAGTACACGGAGAAGGACAGAAAGAACCGGCCAGTCTTACCTGCAGTAAAACGAGAAATGACATGAGAATCGCAGTATTTCCAGGTCCCTTACATATCATACAGACGTTGAAGTCGCAGTTATACCCTGTTTATGAGTGTCTTTTTATAAGTCATATGCGATCGACCATGGTCAACATCGTTGCGCACGTATGCAAGTACTTCATAAAGCTAAGCAATATAAGAGTTAGAACAAAATGCCTGACGTAATGTTGTGTTGGCAAACTGTTATTTCTTTAAGGCATTAATGATCTTATTCTGCATAACAGATCCAAATTACAACAGTCGACCGAACACCTGAATCATCATACAGAAACATCACGATAAAGAAAGGGACCAAGAGCATAAAATCACCAGAGTGAACTACGTTAAAGGTTAGCATTATTCAACGAGACGCCTGTTGGATAAATTGTACTTACTCTTAGTTATAGATTTCACCTTCTCCTGTGTACAAGAGACGTTGATGATAAACTCGTACAGGGTAGAGATGAGCAGCATCAGAAGGATGACGGCGATGAAGCATCTAGAACAATGTCATAGGTATTTCCACACGTTTTACGACAAAGAATGCTGTGCATACCAGATGATCAGTCATGCACTGTGAGTGAATATAAAGGTAGCTTCTCTCACAAGATTATCTGCCACATGGTAGTCTTTTCGGATGTCTAGTTGGTATAATAACTATAAAGCTGTCCATATGCCTCAAAATTGGTCTTTACACCAAATGCAAACAATTCTTAACAACTTACACACTTGCCAACAACTTTATGAATTTTTGACTCTTTGACTCTAGATCTATACTAATAACCCACAGTTTGTAGTTTAATATCAGTGTTTCTTGCATAGCACAACTCGTATCTTACATTGCGACGATGGCTCCAGTACTAAAGGTGGCGTAGTCTTCTTCCCGCTGACAGAGAACACCCACGGGGAACCAACTGGGCATCGGCTTTATGCCAAGGAGACCTAAAAGGGAGCGGAATGATGCACCATTAATAAGGACAGAGACGGGGGGCGTCACAAACTTCTGGGTACAATGGCTACACTACTGCACAGACTTGCATTATGAAGGCTGTACAGTTTGGGACAAGAACAGACGAAAATACAAATATATTATATTATATTATATTATATTATATTATATTATATTATATTATATTATATTATATTATATTATATTATATTATATTATATTATTATTATATCATATCATATCATATCATATCATATCTGCAGGAGTTTGTCAGAAGTGAGGCATTGAATGCAAAACTAACATACCTGTGCCTGCTAGGAGTGTAACATCAAGATCGCTGCACGTGTTGGGTACACAGAGCCCATTAACGTAAGACCGCGCATATCCCGTCAGTTCCTATGTACAACAACAACATATCATAAAAAGTAAAATTTTATTCATATTCCAACATTTAGTCACAGTCAATTTTTTTCAACTTTTACATCAATGCCGCCACCAACACAGGGAACAATACAATACTCATCTTTACCTAAGTGACGTGAGGAAAGTCGTGTCAAGTGCCTTAGTTAAGGGCACAATATCGGTGGCATGTCAGGACTCGAACCCGGGACCTCTTGGTTTCGAGTACTCTGTCGTTACGCTACACGAATACACAACAAAACGACTAAAATAAATGACGATGCATACAGTCCATGTTCGAGCCTAATGACATACCGGTGCGATTCCTGCCCAGCCTACAAGACAGTACATCGGCTTCAGGTCCTTCGGTACGTCCGGAGCGTATTGGATGCGGTCCCTGCAGCCTTTGAAGCTGCCGAAGTCGTCATATCCTCCTTCAAACAGGGCTGATGGGGTGAACTTTCCGGTGCTGTCCAACACTGGGGATGACGAATACGTTATAGATGTTATATCTACACATGGGAACTAGTCTGCCTTAGCATGTATCAAGCTATAAGTTATGTATAGCCTGGGTACCATCCTGGTTGGTTTACGTCCGCTCCCACAGTCGCTACCGACAAAAGGTGCCTTTGGTTGGGCGTAAACTAACTAGTACAGAAGCCAATTCTAAAAGAGACCTAGAAATCGTGGCACCCACTTTTACAGAAAAGGTTTGACCTTATTTGTGGTAGTGAGGCC